GAGGAGAGAGCTCCCACTACCATCTCTGTGTTATCTTGGGGCTCGAACGTGCTCTTACACCGTCTATCCTCTCAGCATCCCCTGAAGGAACCACTGGTTTATAAAACCATCTCCACTCCAGGACAGAGAGCACCGTGAGGGAGCCTGTGACCCCAACCTGACGGGCACACTTGCTGAATGAATGAACAGGCAGGCTACTGCGGCTGAGAACGGTGAAACAGCTGATTCCCCCAACAGTGGTCCATCATCCGCCATCCCAGCCTTCTACACACAGGGCCTGGCCCTTCAAGGCCCATGCTCGCCTTTGGCTGCCCGAAAAGCCCACCCAGTCCTATCTCGGGCTGGCCTCTCAGTGTTCTCCTGCCTCATCTAGTGACAGGAGGCAAGGGAGCAGGTGACTCAGGAGCCTGGTGTGGCGTTGGGGAAGTGAGATTTGCACGGAGCACACCCGATGTCCCAGCCAGGAAAAGGACCCAGGGATCCTGGTCTCATTCCCACCGGCCTTTAACCACAAGCAAAGGGTCTCGAAGCCATGAGTCACAGAGAGCGAGAACGCAGTGCTGCTGCTTGAAGCAAAAACACTTCCTAGCATCCTCCCACTTGCCTCACCCTCACCGTGGCTTCTCGATTCTTCCGACTCTTCACTGGAAGCTGAGGGCTCCCCAGAAGGCACAAGGACTGACCATTGAATGCCTACAGAGGGCAGGCAGAAAACTAAAATACGGAGGGGAGGGGCAGCTCAAAGGAAACTCGTGACATTTTCCATCTACCTGATGTTCCCTAGAACACAAGTAAAACTTTCTTCTACCTAAATCAGCCACAAGGCAGACATCATGACAAATGGCAACTGATATATCCGAGGCATTGGAGAAAATTCCCCATTTTAAAGCAGGCTGCCACTTCTTGAGCAAAGAGCTGCTTGCGGGCTCCTCTAACTTGCCCAGAAAAGCAGGAAGTCAGGATTTTTACACGAAATCACCCTTGCAAGTGTTGGCAACTACCTTAAAACATTGATTTACGTTTCTGCAGGCTAAAGGAGGCACCTATAATCATCCAGTCATCTCTGTTAGCTTGTAACTGTTGCCTCCTAAGCATAAACTCCCTGAAAGCAAAAATGTGCCTTGCTCCACTCTTTCCAACACCTGGGAAGAATCTGGAACACAGTTGCAGATGCTCAAACATTCGTGTGCCCAATAAATAAGTTCAAAATAAACAGAAGAGGAAAAGAGCTAATAAAAGGCTATTTAAAATCAATTCTGGGGGCACCTGGGTGGCTCAGTCAGTTAAGCATCCGACTTCGGCTCAGGTCATGATCTCACGGCTCGTGGCTTCGAGCCCCGCGTCGGGCTGTGCTGACACTAGCTCAGAGCCTGGAGCCTGTTTCAGATTCTGTGTCTCCCTCTCCATCTGACCCTCTCCTGCTCATGCTGTCTCTCTCTCTCTCTCAGAAATAAATAAAACATTAAAAAAAATCAATTCTGTCCCAGGAAATGTTTATTTGGTTCCTGAAACAATGATCCTTTTAAAACATCAAATCACAAGGCTCTATCACACTCAATCAGGACAAATTCCTCACCAGAGCCTTCAACATCCTGTGTGATCTGGCACCTGTCACTTCCCTGTTGCACTCGCTCTGATCCAGCCAAACCTGACTCCTCGTTACTTCTTGAACACGCAGACCTGCTCCCAATTTTGCACTTGCTGATCCCCCTCACTGGAACACTTTTCCTCTGCAAGTGACTCACTCTCTCACCTCCAACACGTCTTTTTTCAAGTATGGCTCTCTCAGACTCACCCTATTTAAAACCGACCAGGGCGCCCCATTCCCCTTCTCTACTTTTCTCCAAAGTACTTTCTGCTGATCAGTCATGTTTGTTCATGTTCACAGGGCCAAAGACTTTCAAAGCTTTGTTTTGTTTACTGGTGTGACCCAAGGGCAAAGAATTGTGCCTGGTTACGCAGCAGACACTGCAACTATATTTCTGAAATGACTGAGCACACCCCAAAATAAAAGCTAACAGGGTGCTTCCAACGTGCTAGGTCCTTTAAATACATCGATGGCGGGGCTCCTGGGTGGCTCAGTCGGTTAAGCCTCTGACTCCGGCTTAACTGAGGTTAAGCCTCCCCAACTCGTGGTCACTCTCTTTCTCTCAAACATGGATAAACGTTTTTAAAAAGATTCAACACATCACTTATTTCACTGCACTCGGAGCATCCCTGGCCTCTGGCACCTGCCCCTCTGCTTGACTTCGGCTTGCCTACGTCTCTGTCACTACCAACAATCTGGAGGCTCTCAAAGGCCAGAGCTCGTTCTGATCCCCTCCGAGCTCCCACAGGGGCCTTTCTGTCCCCAGGCGCAATACCTCCTCCCCACAACGTCCCGGCCACACACCTCGGCCTCCTCGCCGTCACTGCTGCGCTCGCTGTCCTCCTCCTCGGAGAAGTTACTGTCCTCACTGTCCGACATCTTCTGCTCTTGCAGGAAAAGACGGCGGCCTCAGTGCGCCCCCCAAACAGGAGCCCCACCCCTGCCTCAGTTTCCCCGCCAGTTCCCGGGGAGAAGAAAAATCCCTTAGCGCACTTCCGGCAGCCTGGTTCTGGCAAGCGTGAGCCCGAAAGGCTACCCCTTAAGCTACCTGCTGCGCCTTCCGTGTCCCGGAATCCGGTCTCTAAGCCTCCCTAGCCCCCGGCGACCCCTGGTCCTGCCACCTCGGCGTCCGACCCACCCCTCACCGCTCCGGTTCCACCTCAGCTTTCGGGACCAGCAGCTGTTCACACGACGCCTGGCGGGGACTGACGTGCCCTCTCGCGAGAACCTACCCGTCGGCCTCCCTTAACGCGAGATTTCCAGGGCCAGTCCCGGTGACGCACTTCCAGGGCGCCATCTTGAAAGTGGCAGATCCGGCTCACTGTAGAGCATGGAGTCGGCATCTTGGGAGGGTCATAGAGGGATCCTTTTCCGGGCTGGCACTTCCAACCGGAATTTGTGTCTGAATTTACTAGTGTGGTGTGCCAAGCCGTGAGGAGGCAGGGAGTGACCAAATAATAATGAGTTAGCAAATAAATCAGACTTTATCTCCTACCTCTAAAACATTCCTAGGAGGTAAGTACCCCCATTTTGCCGACAAGGAAACTGAAGCTCAGAAAAATAAACTAACTGGATAGGGGCGGACCTAAGACTCCATCCCAAGTTTGGATAACCCTTAATACCTTGTTTTTCTTTACAAATCCCGAAGTGTAAATCAATATGAATTTACATATTAGTAATTATTTGTCAGACAGATAGCAAAGGACCAGGTATGATGAGACAGAGATAAGAAAAATTAACTTGATGAAGAGGGAAAAAAATAAGAAACTTTTAAAACACATTGCTAAAATTTCTTGCATAAGCATCGAGACACCTGGATTAACTTTACAGCAATTTAATATGCACCTAGTTACAGGGTAAGATGGTGTGGTCAGGCCAACAGCGGGCTCACAAAACAACTTATCAGGGAATGATTATGTCACTGGTGTGTTTGTATAAGCACACACTCCCTGATTCAACAATCTCAGACTGAACCCAAGACAGACTAGGGAGAGGATTTTCACTCCATAAAAATGTTTTCCCTTCTATGAGCTTGGTACTCATATGTTTATGCGTATTTAATAATAATAGGCTTCATCCGTCTAGTAGAGCCTAACGCAGAGCTTGAACTCCTGACCCTGAGATCAAGAGTTGGATGCTCAACCAACTGAGCCACCCAGGTCCCCCCAAGTTTGATTCTTTTAAACAGCAGCTCTTTAATGTTTTTTTTTATGTGTGTATGTGTTTTTTAATTTATTTCTGAGAGAGACAGCGTAAGCAGGGAAGGGTCAGAGAGATAGGGAGACACAGAATCTGAAGTAGCCTCCAGGTTCTGGGCTAGCTGCCAGCACAGAGCCCGACGTGGGGCTCAAACCCACGAACCGTGAGATCATGACCTGAGCCAAAGTCGGACACTTAACAGACTGAGCCACCCAGGAGCCCCTACAGCAGCTTTTAAAAATAGGATCCAGAGGCTCCTGGGTGGCTCAGTTGGTTAAGCCTCCGGCTAAGGTCATGATCTCGCCATTCATGAGTTCAAGCCCCATGTTGGGCTCTATACTGACAGCTTGGAGCCTGGAGCCTGAATCAGATTCTGTCTCCTCTCTCTGCCCCTTGCCTGCTCACTCTCTGTCTCTCCCTCAAAAATAAACATTCAAAAAAAATTTTGAAATAAAATAAAATAGGACCCACATGTAAAATACCTATTGACACTGCTGCAGAAAGCAGCACTTTACTCCAGTAAAGTGAGGGAGCAGTAATATTCTCCCCATAGAAAGTTCTTCCTTAGTGTGTCAGTGGTTCTCAACCCCCAACCCTACCACTACAAAAGAATATGTAAGAAGAGAGGCGCTTGGGTGGCTCAGTCGGTTAAGCGTCCGACTTCAGCTTAGGTCATGATCTCACATTTCGTGGGTTCGAGCCCCGCATCAGACTCTCTGCTGACAGCTCAGAGCCTGGAACCTGTTTCAGATTCTGTATCTCCCTCTCTCTCTCTGCCCCTCCCCTACGCTCTCTCTCTCTCTCTCTCTCCCTTTCTCTCTCTCTCTCAGAAATAAATAAAACATTTAAAAAAATAATTTTCAAAAATATGTAAGAAGATGGAAGAGAAATGTGTGTTAGTCCCAAAATGGGAACAACATAATGATAAACAAATTAGGGAGCATCTATACAATGGAATAGTAACACACTGCTGATACGCATGTGAATGAATCTCAAAAACATCGTGCTGAGTGAAAGAAGGCAGACACTAGACTATGAACAGTACAATTCCATTCATGTGAATCTCTAGAGGCAGCAAAACTAATTCTATACAGACAGGAAACTGATTAGTGGAGGTCTATGACGAGGTGAAGATTGGGAAAGGGGCATGAGGGATGCTTTGGCGATGATGGAAATATGGCTGTGTGTCTACGTTTGTCAGAACACATTGAAATGTATGTTTAAAATGTATGCTTTTTCCTGTACGTAAGTTACACATCAATAAAGTTGATTTTAAAACTATAGATGTTCAGGATCCGGCAGAGACTGATGATCAAGATCTAGCCTAGTGTTCAAGATCTAGCCTAGCCGTCAGTATTCCTCGAGAAGCTCTCCAGAGGGTAAATATTTGCCACCAGGGACATGAGGCACAAGACTCTCCCTGTCCTCTAGGGTGGGATGAGGGTGGAAGACACCTGCGCGATGCTTGTCCCCTCCTGGAAGAGGAGAGAGGAGGGAGTGCCTCAGATGGAGACCAGGGGCAGCTGGGGACCAATTTACCCAACCCCCTACCCCAGTAGGTCTGAGACTTCAGGCTTCAGATCTTATTTTCCTCCTCTCTTCCCCTTGGCTCCATGGGCTCCAGATGGGGTCCTCTGGCCTAGTAGGAGAAGGCTTAGGATGGGCAGCTGGGGCTGGAGACCAAGGCCCCCATCTCTCCCCCCCAAGCCCCTCTGGCAGTACCAAGGGGTCTGTGTCCCCCCAGGCTCATGCTGAGGACAGGCGCCGAGCACAAGCCCCCTGTAATAACTCCAATAGTTTGGCCAGAAAGAGGGGGACGGGTCGCTGGGGATGTCCTTCACAGGGTGGACAAGGACCCTGGCCAGTCACCCACAGCCGGGCCCCCAGCGCATCCAGCAGACGCTGTAGCCGGAACACAGCAATCCCGACGGATGGGCCCTCTTCAAACTGGATCACAGACAGCTCCAGCCGAAAGCAGCCCAGTGTCTCAGCAGGACACACCTGCGGGGAGAGAGTGGCTTGGTGTCTCTGGGCAAGGGTCTGATCCCAAATCCCCGAGCCCGGGTTTCTGAAGTATGTCCTGGCATAAGCCCCGTCACCTCTTGGGGCCTCAGTTTCCTCATCTGTAAAATGGAACCCTGAATGATGCCCACCTTCAGGGCTGAGGCTAGCCTATACTGTCCGTGCCTGTGTAAGTTAGAAAATGACACTTCTCAGGATGACTGGGTGGCGGTTAAGCCTCCAACTTCCACTCAGGTCATGACCTTGTGGTTCGTGGGTTTGAGCCCCACATCAGTCTTCACACTGACCCTATGAGGCAGATAGGGCCACCATGTATGGATGTTAAAAATGTACACTGCACAAGGACCCCACAAGAAGGGCGGTATCCACATCCTGGATATTTTTGTCAATTTCTGGTAGATGGCAGTGAAGTATCTTGTTCTGACAAAATCAGCACTTGGACGTGTTTTAAGAAATGTTGTTTTCATTTTTCTCTTTTTTTAATTTATTGTTTTTCGTTTCTTTTAAATGTTCTGTTCTTTCTTGAGAGACAGAGAATGGTGGGGGAGGGGCAGAGACAGAGAGGGAGACACAGAATCCCAAGCAGGCTCCAGGCTCCAAGCTGTCAGCACAGAGCCCGACGCAGGACTCGGACCCAGAAACCGTGAGATCATGACCTAAGCCGAAGTCGGACATTTAACCGACTGAGCCACCCAGGCGCCCCTAAGTAAGCTAATATATTTAAGGTGTTTAGGCCAGTACCTGGCCAAGTAAGCACTATTAAAGTGTCGCTATCACCCTCATTATCCGTTGTTAGGTGTCAGCTGGCGTTCTAAGTGTGGGAGACAGCAGTGGACAAAATATATTTGTGATGGCAGGGAGCTCGGTCAGCAGCTGGACAGCCAGAACACCAGCCCGCTACCTCCCGCCCCAAATGTATGTGTGTTTGGAGCCTAGCGGATTTTCCCTAAACTTCCAACTTCAAGTAAAGAGCTAGTGAAATACTCACCGAGAGATCATCTGGGGTGTAGAGAGTGCCATCATTTTTGTTTCCCTACAATTTGGGGTAGGGAGGAGAATCAGATCTTGGAGGGGAGAGCCTAACCGTTCCTCAGACGTGCCCCACACCCCACCCCCTCCCTGCCTGTCTGCTGGCTCTCCCCTCCGTCTTCCTCACCAGCATCTTCATGATGGCAACAAGGAAGTAGAAAGGCTCCCGAGGGCAGAGGGGTGATCCTAGGCCTCCCAAGGGCCGTACCAGCAGAAGGATGGTCCAGAGAGGCCACGTGGGCACCCTGCTCACCCCCCAGGTCTTTTCTGGTCCCAGCCCAGGGTCCTGGAAGCAAGAAGTACAGGGGCAACTTGAGTGGTTCTGTCAGTTACGTTTTAACTCTTCGTTTTAGCTCAGGTCATGATCTCACAGTTCATGGGATAGAGCCTATGTTGGGCTCTATGCTGACAAGCTTGGAACCTGCTTGGGATTCTCTCTCTCTCTCTCTCTCTCTCTCTCTCTCATTCCCCCCCCCATGCACATGCACACAGACACTCTCTCTCAAAATAAAAAAATAAACTTAAAAAATACAGAGAGACAGAATAAAATGGAAGACAGTGGAAGACACTGAAGTGTCCTGCTGCCTTCCTGTCCAGCTCCAGTCAACCCACAGATACTCAGGGAATGTTCTCCAACAGTCCAGGGAAGATGGTGACCCTAGAGTAGGCGGGGTCCAGGTCAGAGGGCTCCCTGACACCTCTTCCCCACCCCCACCCCTCCACAGGAAGATATAAGACTCAGTAAGGGTGTGAGGATCAGCCTAGAGAGAGTGGAGGGTTTGGAAGTACTGGTCCCCGCCCCCCTGCCACCCCTCCCCACAAAGATCCATAAGACAGGACAGTGTGTGAGTGCGGGTGAAGCCTGTGGCCCGTCTTCTCAGTGGAAAACATCCCTGTTACACTTTAGATATGTTTGCAGGTGTGTATTTGGGGGTCTTTGCTCTCCTTTCTACTTTTATTTCTTGTTTCCTTTTCCTTTTTATTTTTTTATTCTTTTTTTTAATGTTTATATATATATTTTTTAAAATTTTTAATGTTTTTTATTTATTTCTAGGAGAGAAGAGAGAGAGACAGCGTGAGCAGGGGAGGGTCAGAGAGAGTGGGAGTCACAGACTGAAACAGGCTCCAGGCTCTGAGCTGGCAGTCAGCACAGAGCCCGACGCGGGGCTCGAACCCACAAACCGCGAGATCATGACCTAAGCGAAAGTAGGACACAAAACCGACTAAGCCACCCAGGCGCCCCTTTAATGTTTATATTTTGAGAGAGAGACAGAGCAGAGGAGGGGCAGAGAGAGGGAGACACAGAATCCGAAGCAGGCTCCAGGCTCCGAGCTGTCAGCACAGAGCCCAACACAGGGCTTGAACTTGTGAACCGTGAGACCATGCCCTGAACCGAAGTCGAACGCCCAACCGACGGAGCCACCCAGGCGCCCCTCCTTTTCTTTTGTAAATAAATATTTATTCATTTCTGAGAGAGAGAAAGAGAGAGAATATGAGACGGGGGTGGGGGGCAGAGAATCTGAAGTGGGTTCTGCACTGATGGCCACAAGCTTGATAGAGAGCTCAAACTCAGGAATCGTGAAATCATGACCTGAGCTGATGTTGGACACTCAACCGACTGAGCTACCCAGTGCCCCTCTATTTCTATTTCTGTATCAACTACTGTATTTCCATATTTCAAATATCTTGAAATCTCCATGCTTGCCTGTACCTGTCTGTCTTCTTTCTCTGAGGGCTGGCCTCTCTGCCTCCGAATTGCCGTCACTTGTGTTTTCTGGGTCCATCTGTAATTGACCCTGGGTCTATCTTCTTTCTCCTCTTCTCCTTCGGCCCCTTCTTTGTCTTTCTCCTTCATGTGTGCCTCTCTAGCCGCTGGGTGCTCCCTTCTTTCACCTCTACCCTCTCTCACTCTTTTGGAGCTGGACTCTGGGCAGGACTCCTTCCTGCCACAGACCCACCTACCAACCTCCACTCCTCTCCAGGCACCAGGTGAGTTGACCACACCCCTTAGAACTTTGAACCTTGACCTCTGCTGCCAGAGACACTGAAGAAACTGTGGGCTCTCTGCAGTCCTGAAAGAGAACCCTTTTGACTGGGAAAGGAGTATCCTGAGTGTGGGAAAGCCAAGGGGAAACTAATCCTAAGAGTCCTAAAACGGGATTGGGGGGACTGGGGATGGAGAATTCTATGCGGGAGGAGCCTGGAGAGTTGGGTGATTTGGGGGTGAGAGCCAAGAGATGATTTGAAGGACCCCTGAGAAAGAGGGATTCTAGGGTAGAGACCCTGAAGAAGGGGTTTCTGGAGGGACAGTCTCTAAGGAGTGGAGAATTCGAGGAGAGGAGAATTCTTTTTTTTTTTTTTTAATGTTTTATTTCAGGGAGACAGAGAGAGAGAGAAGCAGCATGAGCAGGGAAGGGTCACCAGGCTCTGAGCTAGCTGTCCGCACAGAGCCCGACGCAGGGCTCGAACCCACACACGGTGAGATCATGACCTGAGCCGAACGCTTAACCTACTGAGCCACCCAGGCGCCCCTAGGAGAGGAAAATTCAGGGGAGGCAGTTGTTGGTTAGAGAAAGCTCTGAAGGAAACGGAATTCTTAGGAAAGGTCCATTCTCGAAGGAGGCGGCTCTGAAAGGGAGAGAACATTTGTGAAAGGGGATTCTGTCGGGGTTGTTCTCAGAAAAGTGGATTGCGGTCAGTGGGAGATTCTGGGGCCCTTGAGTGGAGGAATATTCAGGGAAAGAGGGGGATTCTGGGAGGCGGAGACTATAAAAGAAGGAAATCCTAGTGAAAGGCAGATTCTGGAGGAAGGGCTCTAAAGGGATTAAAAAGATTCTGGGAGAGAACCCACGAAGGAGGTGCGTTCTGAATCCTGAACCTGGGAATCCTGACAGATTTCCTGGTGTAAATTCTGTAGGTGAGATTCTGATGGAGGAGGATTTGGGGAGAAGAGTGTCTAGATGGCAGGATAGAGTCTACAGGGGAGGAAGAATGCTTGAGATGAGCGGCTAAGAAGAAGCGTCTTCAGAAGAGGGTGAAAATCGAGATTTTGGGTGGAGAACGTTGAGGGAGATTATTAAAGAGCCGAAATGCAAATAAACCGGCGGCCACCAATGGAGACCGAGAATATGAAGACAGACAGTCCCCGCCCTTCTTCCGCAACTGCACCCGGCACACTTCAGGCCCCGCCCCTTCCACTCACAGGTCCCGCCTCCTCCGCTCAGGGGTCCCACCTTCCCGCCGCTAACCCTAAGTCCCGCCGTAAAGCTGTGAGCCGTAAAGCTCACTCCCGTCGCGACGCAGCACCGAAGGCGCCTGCGCAGACCCTGAAAAGCGGCCGGGGTGGCCCCGCATTTTCCTTTTCCGGTTGCAGCGCCGCGCGGTGAGGAGCTCTCGTCTACGTTCGCAGCTATGCCGTCCAAAGGTCCTTTGCAGTCTGTGCAGGTCTTCGGACGCAAGGTGGGCCGGGCGCCGGATGAGAGGGACGGTGGGAGGCTAGGGTCTGCAGAGGCCTGCGGGCAGGGTCCTGGGGTCAACACGGGAGTCGGGGGCCGAAGCTCACGTGGCCCCGCTGTGTTCTCCCTCGCTTCCCACAGAAGACGGCCACAGCCGTGGCGCACTGCAAACGGGGCAACGGCCTCATCAAGGTGAATGGACGGCCCCTGGAGATGATCGAGCCGCGCACGCTGCAATACAAGGTGCGGGGATTGAGGGTGGGCGTTTGGGTTGATTGGGGGGCTCTGGAGAGAGATGTTATGTTTCAATGGATTCCTGGAATTGATCTTGGGAGGCCGAGGGATCTGGTATCAACAATAGGATGTTCATGGGACTTAAAATTTCAAAGACTGTGCTGTGGTCGTTTTGTGGTGGGTCTTTGACTAAAAGAAATGCAGGGAACAGCCCATCCCACTGCCAGTCTGGATTATAAGGCTTTCCAGCGTTTTGGGAGGACACCACTCCTGGGTGGTGTTGGGGACAGAGAAAACGGGTCATTTGGAGATGGAGCTGTTTTCGGTTTTCGGAGGTTTCAGATAGTGTATTGGGAGTGGAAACGTGGATGCCGTAGGTTAAGTGGGTGTTTCCGAAACGGGGATATTTGGAAGCCCAGTTGAACAGTTGGGGACGCAGTGGTAAGGGGAGTTTGTGCGGCCTGATTTCTTTAAGTTGATGGGGGGGGGGGCGCGGTCGTGTATCCTGTTTACAACCTAACTTTTGTTTTCACTGGTAGAGTACATGCGTTCCTTGAGAACAAAAGTTAATTTATTTTTTAAATATAGGAGTAAACATAGGACTTAGACATTGTAGGTGCTCACAAAGTATTGAAATGACAGGAACAGAATTTGGGTTTGTTGTTCTTTGCCGTGGAAGGGGTTCCTTCCCTGCCTGTTGCTGTGTTGGCCTCAGTTCCTTCAACTCCGAATGGGATGAGTGGAGTCAGATTTTTGCCTCTTTTACCTGTGTTATTTGTTACTTGAAGGATAGAACATTTTTTTTCTCCCTTGGGTTATCCGTAAAATGGGGATCATTTCTGCCTCGAAGGGCTGTCGTGAGGAGAAATTAGATTTTCGGGGTAAACTTCTTGGCATGTAGGAGAATGCATTTGTTGCTTTCTTAAATTTTGTTGCTTTTTATTTCACTTTTAATGGCATTTTTAAAATATGTCTTATTTTTGAGAGAGTGCAAGTGGGGGAGGGACAGAAGATCTGAGGCAGTCTCTGCCCTGACAGGAGAGGGTGTGATGTGGGGCTCAAACTCCGGAACTGAGATCATGACCTGATCCCAAAAGTCTGACACTCCATGGACTGAGCCACCCAGGCGCCCTCGAATTTAATTTTTTAATTTTCGTGTAGTTGACACGCAGCGCTTTGTTAGTTTCTGGGGTACAGCGTAGTGATCAAAGTCTGTCACTTGTAAATGTGAAGGATAATATGTGTTGCAGCCTTAGAATGCCATACGATAGTGTCTGACATCTTTCTTGTAGCAACTATCAAGTACCATGGTTTGCTCTTCTTAATTGTCAGTTCTATGAAGGTTCTGTTTGTGTAACCTGTATTGAGTGCCGAGGACCCAGCAGTGACCCTGGTGACCCCAGGCCCTGCTCTTGTAAAGCACCTAGTCCTGTGAAGGAGGCAGACTGGTCTCAGCATTAGATCCTGCTCCAGAGTAGTCAGGGCTGGGATGGGGGAACCCCAGAGAAGGCTTCTGGCTTGAACCTGGGTGGGAGGATCAGTACAGGCTTGGCAGCGGCAGCGGCAGGCGGGAATCGGTGACCTGAGGCCTCACACCTACAGTAGACAAAGTAACGCCTAAAGGTGTAGAGCTGGCTGGGGGGCCGCAGGGCACAGGTAGCAGAGTTGTGGTTTGGAAATGTGAGGCTCTAGCCCAAGGGGGGAGATCCAGAGAAAGCACCTGATCTGGCCCGGGAGTGGCTTTCCACTGTTCCAGGCAGGCTCGATGGCTGTAGAGGTTTTCCTTGTGGAGTGAAAGTTCCAGAACCAGTCCTGGAGACGGGGGCTCGGAGACCCAGAGGGACACACATAGGAGGGCCCTGCTCAGGTTCCATTTAGTGGTCTGTCGTCTGTTTCCAAGCGTTCCTGCTCTCCTGGCCGTGCAGAGAGGTCGGCGGTGGTGGAAGCTACTCGGAGAGAGAGAAGTAGTGAGGTGAGGTGGCTCGGCTGCGCAGCCTGGCACCTAAAATCCTGTTGTGTCCCTTGTTCCTCCAGCTACTGGAACCCGTTCTGCTTCTGGGCAAGGAGCGGTTTGCTGGGGTGGACATCCGAGTCCGAGTGAAGGGGGGTGGTCACGTGGCCCAGATTTACGGTGAGTCCCAGGAACGGGGCATCGGGGTGGGAGGGGGCTCTGAGAGCAAAGCCCTACTCTTGGGTCTTCATGAAGCTGATCCACCCTCTCCTGTGTCTTCCTCACAGCAATCCGCCAGTCCATCTCCAAAGCCCTGGTGGCCTATTACCAGAAATGTGAGTGAGAATGGCTCCTTCCTATCTGGTGGTGGGGGGGGAGGGGCAGGCAAGTGGAGGACCAGCCCCGGCATTTAGCCCCAGAGACCAGGGGGCGCTTCCGTGGCTGTCTCAGTCTTCACTCTCTTCTTGTCCCCAGACGTGGATGAGGCTTCCAAGAAGGAGATCAAGGACATCCTCATCCAGTACGACCGGACCCTGCTTGTCGCTGATCCCCGGCGCTGCGAATCCAAAAAGTTTGGCGGTCCTGGTGCCCGTGCTCGTTACCAGAAATCCTACCGATAAGCCTCCCGTGAGGGTCAGGGTTCACCTTTATAATAAACAATTGTCATGGGACTTAAGGTTTCAGCGACTGTGCTGTGGTTGTTTTGTGGTGGGTCTTTGACTAAAAGAAACATGGGGAACAGCCCAGCTCACTGCCAGTCTGGATTATAAATAAGGCTTTCCGGCCTTTTCGGAGGACACCACTCCTGGGTTAGTGTGGGTGGGTGGGGGCAAGCTTGAGTCCCAGTCTCCCTGCATTTCTCGTAGCATCCAGTGTGTGGGCACAGTGGAGGTGGGGTGTTCTAGGCCACTGGTCATGTGGGGTGTGTTCGTGGGTGGGTTTTTTTTTTTTTTAAGTCTTTTTGCTGATGGCATGTCCGGGAATAGTGGGGGTCATGGGTAAGATCAGTGAACAGTAATCCAGAGAAAGGGGAAACCAGAGTGCAGCCTGAAGTCAACTAGTAAGTAGCACCATGATTGGATTAGGAAGGAATCTTCCCTGATGCCACCCTGCAGGTAGATAGGCTTGAGATGTGGGAGGGGTGGCATTCCTTCTAACTGGCTTCATCCTTCAGGATGTCAGCACTGTCTCCTGGGGAAGGGGCCCCCGTGGCCTCTTGAAAGCGAGTCCCGATTACACTCATTGTAGCAACTGTGTTTACAGGGCTCAGAACGTGGGTCTGAGGACTTGTTCGTTTACTGTGTCTGCCACGTGGTAAGAGCCAACGAATGGTAGGCTCTCCGTGGCTACCACTGGGCTATACAGCATATTTCCATCGTGCAAGAAGGTTCTATGGGACAGCGTTGGCGTATGTTTAGGGAAAACAAGTGTTGCCTGTGGTTCAAGTTACTTTTGGCCTTTCCTCCCCGTCTTTACAGGAAGCTAATGAGCTTCATTGGGTGGGAAGGGCATCTCTGCCCCTATTGGCCCTTGCAGCCAACCTTTCCTGGGGCGGGGTCCCCCACTGCTCTCCCTGCTGGGGTACTGGCCAGAACCTCATATGGCATTTGGACACTGATGGAGAGGGGGAAGTTTTAACACATTGTTTTCATAAAAGAAGGATCGTGACATTTACTGTTCACTGGCCCTTTTGGTATCTGCCCGCTCCATACGGTAGTCCCGTGTGACTGCCAAACTGGGCAGCACAGATGAGAGAGCGTTTCCGTCGTTGAGGAAAATCACTCGGGACAGCACTGATGTCCAGGGAGCATATGCAAATAGCGTTTCTTATAGATGGCTGGTGGGGTTGATTGGCACCAACTAAGTGTCCGGCTAAGCGTTAGGTATACTCGATGTGCCAGTGAGCGTGCTGACAGGCAGGTGTCTGACTCTTAGGTAAGTGGCCTAGTGGCAGGAAGCAGCTGCAGCTCCCCAGGTTTGCATTGGAGCTGTAGTTAAGGGGTTGGATGGTTTTAACCTAAGTGTCCCAAAGAGGGCAGGAGGCCGCTACCCCTGCACTCTGAGCCTGATCTGTAGCTCGGCTGGGCTGTCCGTGGGCCGGCTGCAGTGGACTGGCGAGGAGGCGTCGGAGCCAGGGCTGGGAGGCAGAGGTATGAGTCAGGCAGATGGGAGTAATGGAGTTGGGGGTCCCTGGGGTCCCTGGTTTTCTGCAGGGCTCAGAGACCCCCTTAGAAGACTCCTGGCTCCCTGCCAGAGGCACAGCTGGGACGCATCTTGCATCTGGAAATGCTAAGGGGGCTCGCCTCTCCTTCCCCACTTCAGGCTTTGGAGTAGGCGGCCCCTTTCTCCCTCCCTGCCGCCTCCTCAAATACCGGGAATTCCGGCGCCACTGGGAGCCCAGGCCAGGCTGAGAACTTTCCTTCAGCTGGGAATGTGCAGCTGGGGGGTGGAGGAGGGGAGGGCCAGCCTCCGTCCTGACCCTGGGGAGGCTGCATGGAGTTGACCCAGGCCCTACTGCATGGCCCAGTAACCATCCAGTAAATCCTAGAAGCCAGCAGCTAATAGTGACCCGGGCCTTATGTGGGATACTTTACTCTGCCAAGAACCGCCAAGGGCCCCCGGTGCACTAGGCCGCAAGCCCCCTTCCGGTAGGTCAGGGTCTTCTTGAACCAGGCCTGGTACAAAATAAGACACTCAGCAGCCCAGAGGATGGACTGGGCGAAGCGGTGTGGACTTGAGTTCCAACGTTGCCCCTTAGCCACGCGCCTGGGCAGATCCCTTATTCTCTCTGTGCCTCGATGTCCTCTCTACAGTGAGGATCAAAAACCATCCTCGCAGTGCCTGGGTGGCTCACTTGGGTAAGCACATGACTATTGATCGGATCTCCTGGTTCGTGGGTTTGAGCCTCGTGTCGGCAGTGCGGAGGCTGCTTGAGATTCTCCGATCCTCCTCTGCTCGTCAAAATAAAAATAATAAAAAAAAGACTTAACAAAAAAAAAGAAACCTTCATGTGCCTTTTAGGGATATTGTGAGGATTCAGAGTGAATGAGTTCACACAGAATGACTAATGTCTGTGCTATGCAGTTAGTACGCCATAGATTTCCACTTTTTTTCTTGTGACCTGATTGTTAAAACTTCTGATTCTTTAGGTTGGGACTGTTGGAGGATCTCTTATTTGAACAATGATGAGTCAGGCTCAGATACATTTGCGAAACCAGGATACGCTCACTGAATCTGTACACTGATCTTATAAGGCAGATACCGTCCTCGTACAACTGAGAAAACCCAGACCCCAAGGTTCTACACCAACTGGAAAAGTCAGGACTTGAACTCAGCTGGGACACTGCCACAGGGAATTCCAGGGAGAATTAAATAAGACACTGTGCTGAAGCATGAGGTTTAGCGTTCAATGAACGAAGCTAGTATTCCCCCCAAGAAACTGCTTAACTTAGGCGGCTCGCTGGGCATGCCATTGCTGGGAGGGGGCAGGAGGGTTCTAACATAAAAGTCTTTGTCTTTGACCGGAATTTCTTTTTGGGGGGGATGTGGGGGCCACGCTGAGGCACTCCAGAGGCCCCACACTAGAGCAAGGGGGTGAAGAGATCCAGTGTGTGTATGTGTAGGTGGGCACAAGAATTGGAACATTCATGACGTTGGGGAGTGATTGCCAAGAGAAATCAGATGGGGAACAGACTTCCAGAATCCCAAAAGCGATTCACTCTGGTGTCCATACGGACTGGTCTCTGAAATTTTATAGACCCAAGACCCAAAATAATCTAAGGAGGGATGGGATGGTGATAGAGAGCGTCGGATGGTTGTCCCGGTGGGTTAGATGGCTGGGTGAGCGAGACGCAGGAGCTGGTGGAGGTGAAAATGAGGCAGGGATGGAGAGGGCTCATTGGAGAGAACAGGTGGGAAAATGGAAGAATGGCTTGGTGTTAGGATACTAGACGGGGAAGGGTAGGGTGATGGACGAACAGGCTAGAGATGGTCAAGCAGATCAGGCCATAGAGGTTGGAAGAGATCGGTTAGAAGGGCAGGAGAGGGCTGGAGACGACCTGATCGATAGATACAGGGAGGGCTGAGCATGTGAGACGCAGGAACGGGATGAATCCCTGAGGGAATGGACTTCTAAGTCTGCCCAGAACAGAGCTGCTTAACTTGGCTTTCCTGGACGGTGGCCTCAAGCAGCTCATAAACTCTGAAACAGCAGACACCAAACTGCCATGGGTGGTTGTCAGTAACGCTTAAAGTCAGAGACCCCCCCCCCCCCCAGTTCTCAGAGCCATGGATGTGTGCTGCGTCAGACCTTCCCATTCATTAGTCTTGTCCTCCCCCACCGCCTCCAGAATGGGAAAAGATACAGAACTTCAAAATATGAACGAACAAAATATTAATGACATCCCGTTCCCCCATCCCTGTTGAGTTAATCAGGTAAGTAAGGACCTTTCGCCCAAGCAGATCCCAGGAGATGGAAAGCTGTGGCAATTTTTACACCTTTGTTCAGTGTCTGGACTTTGGGGTGACGTTCTGAGGGTCTGTGGCATCTGGTTGAAGTCCTTGCTTTTCATGAAGCCCAATACCGTGGCTCACATGTGGAAAGGGGCATCAGGAGCTCCCTGGGCTCTACGAAGGCCCACAGATTCCTGGGTGGGGGCCAAGAGAGCGGGATGGTTTAACCTGACCTGGGCCTTGGCTGGCCGCAGCCGCCCCCCGCCCCCGACGTGGATGTTGACCGTCGTGGCATAGCTGAGCCTCCTGGCTGGGGCTGGTGGGGGCTGAGGCTGGGGTGGTGGCGAAGGTGCCCGTGATGCGGGGGCAGAGGAGGACCAGGGACCCCGGGAGGCTGGGGCAGCTTCTCCCCCAGGCCCTTGTCTCCGAGCCAGGCTCTGGCTGATGTACGAGGCTGCCAGGTATCTGGAGAGGGCGGCTGCGTTGGGACCCAGGAGCTGACGCGTTGGAGGAGGGGGACTGTGGGGTGGGGTCGACTCTGAAGACTCGGACCTGGCAACATGAGAGCCCCGGTGGCCTCCTGGTTTGGAGAAGACCACGGTGGTCGGAGCCGGGGTGGGTAACAGGCCCGGACTGTCCCGAGAGCCTTCCTGCTCAGGCAGAGCTGCTGCAGCCAGAACAGGAACGTTCGTGAGGCTCTTCTGCGCCACCCAAGGTGTAAGTTTTTGGACGTGGGGGTCTGTGAAGCTTTGTTCCTGATGCAGAGGTGCGGCAGATGGACCCCGGGTGTCTGGGAGGCCTCCCTGCTTGGGCAAAGGCGGAAGGGCTTGGACTTGGATGTCCACGAGGCCTTGTCGCTGGGGCAAAGGTGTGGCAGCTGGAACGCTGGGTTTCTGGGGCAAGGACGGTGGGGTGTCGGCTGGGATCTGACGGTCTAGACAGCTTCCGTGCGCAGGCGGAGGTGAGGTACCCAGAACCTGAATGTCTGAGAGGTCCTGGGGCAGAGGCAGTGGGGCGCTGGCTGGGGTCTGGCGGCTCAGGTGGCCTCCATGTGCAGGCACAGGTGAAGTTCCCGGGACCTGAATGTCCGGGAGGTCACACTGCAAAGGCAGGGGAGCGTCGCCTGGGATCGGGTGACCCAGGCTGCTTCCGTGTGTCAGCAAAGCGGTGACAGCTTGGTCGACCACAGCAGCTGGGAACTGAACATCCCCGCAACCTCCTTGCTTGGTTAACGGGGTGTTGGTTGGGCTCTGGCCCCGTTGGTGGCCTTCCTTCTTGGGCACGGTGGCAGTGGTGGCTGAAAACGTGACATCAGAACCACGTCCCTGACCAGGGACAGCTGGGCTGGTTGGAACGTGGGCGTCCGCGTGGCCTCTGTGCTCAGGCAAGGGCGCAGTAGCTGTAAATGGGATTTCCAGGCAGCCTTCTTGATCAGGTAGAGTCGTAGCTGGACCCTGATCAGGTGGGGGGTCTTCCTCCTCGGGCAAGGGTGTGGGGGCTCCAGTCACACTCGGTATATTCCAGAGGCCTCCCTGCTCAGGCAAAGGGGTAGCAGCTGGACCCTGGATACCCAGACGGTCTTGCTCAGGTAAATTTGAAACACTTAGACCCTGGCTGCCCAGGCAGCCTCCCTGCTTAGACAAAGGTGTGGCAGCTTGAGCCCGGGTGGCAGGACCCAGAGGGACAGATTCCTGGGCACACGTCAGCGGGAAGGCCAGCTCACATACCAGCACGTGTCCAAAGGCAGGCAGGGGACCTGTGTGCACAGAAAGAATGGAGTCAGGGCCGTGCTCTCCGTGTGGGCCGTCTCTGCCGACCACACACCTGGACCTCACCTGGCTCGGCCTGCTCAGGGGGCAGGGAGGGGGACAGCTGTGGCTGGGCCAGAGCGCGGGGCCGGCGGCGGGGCGCATTGGCCGACGCCCGGGTCTCCGCCCGCTGCATCTGCTGGATCCGCTCACTGTAAAGCCGGGCCAGCTCTCGCACCCGGGAAGCTGTCCTCTCCGAACTCGGGGCTCCTGCCTTCCCACCCCCGCCGCCTCCACCCAGATCCGAGTCTTCCAGGATCAGCAGTGGCTCTGGGAAACCCGGCCGGGTCAGCTGCCCCTGTTCCAGTGCCTGCCAGGCGCTCCGGATTTCTGAACAGGAGCGGAATTCCAGTTCATCGGAGAATCCCTGATCTCGGGTGACATCCTGAGACTGGAAATCTGGGAAGGATTCCCCTTCTTCAGCCTCCTGCCGCCCCACCCTGCCCCCCGAGGGCCGTTCTCCCAGTTTGGTGGAACTGCTTTCCGGGAACAGTTCCCTCCTGGGGGCTAGAGCCTCATCAGACTCCCGCAGAGGTCCCGGAAGCCAGGAGTCACAGGGAAGGGCGGGAGTGCTGGGAAGGCTAGGAATGTCAGGGACACTAGGTATGGCTGGAAGGCAGGGCATTTCAAAAACACTGGAAATGTCAGAGAGGCTGGGAAGGTGGGGAATCTTGGGAATTTCAGACAGGCTGGGAATTTCAGGGAGGCTGGAAACGTCTGGACTTTTGTTAAAGCTGGGAACGTCGGGAACTTCAGCGGCACTGGAACTTTCGAGCCCTTCTAGGACGTGGAGTGGGGAAGGCTCCCGTTCGTCCATCTCCAGCTCTTCCTCCTCCTCCTCTTCTGAAGAGTCCCGACTGGGAAGGGCTTGGACTGTGAGGGTTTCACTGTCGCCTGGCACCTGGGAGGTTCCAGGGAATGCGGTGATGTCGTTGGCGGGGGGCTGTAGCGGGCACTGGGGAAGAGGCCAAAGACATCAGGGTGGGCTGGCCCTCCGACCCTCCCCCCGGGGCCCAAGCTGACCCCCAAGGACACCCTGACGTGCTGCCCAGCTCACCCCTGGATCCCGGAGGCCTCTTTGGTTCAGCAGTTCCAAGATCTCCTCAGTGATCGAGGTCCCAGAGGGCTCCAGCGTCGGGGGGCCAGTGTCCTCCAGGTCCTCGGGGGGTCCGGAAGCTGGACCTGGTGGCTGAGGCTCTAAGGGGGGGTAGAGCTCCCCCTCACTGCCAGCATGCTGTGACCAAGGAGAGAGGATGGAGGGCAAGGGTTGAGGGCCCCCCATCTCCTCCTCCCAGACTCGGGAGTCCAGGTCCCCAGACCCTGTGCTAGAACATTTCTTACCTTGAGTCTAGGCTTAGCTGGGGATGGAGAGATGAGAAAGAGATTCGAGTGAGATGCAGGAACAGGGTAATTCCTTACAGGCGATGCGGAGCCCCATCACCCCTCCCCCATGCACACAAGGCATCTCTCGGGAAGAGACAGACAGAAAGGGATGGACCTGGCTGGGCTGGGGCGGCCACTCACCATTCTGTGCAAACATAACATAAGGGTCCTTTACTGGCTCTGGGGAGAGGACACAGTGACGTCAGGGGCCCAGCTCCCACCGCCTTCTCTCGTCAACTTTTAGGTGGAGGACACTCACCAGACTGTCTGCGGCCGCGGCGGGTAGCAGAGGGTCCTGGAGACGGAGCTGGGGGAGAGGCAGGGGAGACCCCGAGGATGAGCCCAGGTCCGGGCTGGAGGGGGAAGGCCAGGGGTACAGTCCCCGGCAGAGAAGCAGGGGAAACTTCAGGGTTTCATCTTCCTTACCTGTGTTCCTTCGTCCAGGAGTGAAGCTTCTAGCATCCCGAGGTCGGGGAGACCCAAGAGGGGGTGTCAGAGGCTCTGGGACAGGCTTACTTTTAGGAGCACCTGTGGGGAGGAATTAGGAACCCGATGATCTACTTTTGCTTGGAAGTCACGCTCCTACTTCCGCATCCTCCCAACCCAAGGCCCCAACTCACAGTGCAGGCTGTTTTCAAGGAGAACTTGCTTTGCCTGAAAGAGACAAGGGTAACAGGTTGCATGCTTGGGGCCTGTCTCTGAGCGCCCCGGTCACGGCCCCATTAATGGGCGCTGCTCCGTGCGAGGATTATTAGTAATCACCCCAGGTATACAAGGTGGGTGCTCTGACTCCTCCAGGTGAGGAAACTGAGGCCAGGGAGGTGGTGTCACTTGCCCAAAGTCACAGAGCAGGGATGTGGCACAGCTGGGATTCAAACCCAGGCAGCCTAACTCTGCAATTTATTTTTAGTTAGCTTGTTTTTTTTTTTTTTAAAGAGTTGGCATTCATCTTATTTATTTCTTTTAACGTTTTATTTATTTTTGAAAGAGTGCGAGTGGGGGAGAGGTAGAGAGAGAGGGACAGAGGATACCGGGCGGGCTCTGTGTTGATTGCAGCAAGCCCAACGTGGGGCTCAAACTCACAAACCTGGGAGATCAGGACCTGAGCCGAAGTCAGATGCTTAACCGACTGAGCCACCCGGGTGCCCCCCTCCTTTTCTTTCTTTTTTTTTTTTTTTTTAATTTTTTTTTTAATTTTTTTAATGTTTTTAATTTAATAGTGGGAGAGGGGGAGAGCAAGAGAGGGAGGGAGAGAGAGACTGTGACAGAGGCCGATGCGGGGCTCGAACCCACGAACCGCGAGATCATGACCTAAGCGAAAGTNGACTGAAACAGGCTCCAGGCTCTGAGCTGGCAGTCAGCACAGAGCCCGACGCGGGGCTCGAACCCACGAACCACGAGATCATGACCTAAGCGAAAGTGGGACGCTTAACCGACTAAGCCACCCAGGCGCCCCCCCTCCTTTTCTTTTTGAAATGCAACTTATCGATGACGGTCTAAGCAGGGCTCATAGAGTCAGGGTCGTGTAGCACTGGGAGGGGGTGGTCCTCCAGCACTCCGAAGCCCCACGGATATGGCGGGAGCTGTACCTTGGCAGGGATGGAGGCGGGATGGTTCTCAAAAAAGAGGCGCTGGAGACAGTGAATCCACAGCCTCTTCTCCTCTTGGTTCTTGGCCTGGGGGATGGGATAGGGAGTCGGGAGCCAGGTCTAAGGTCTGGGGGCTGAGGGGAACCCTGACGGCCCAGCCCCACCTTGCACTCACCTGGAGCAGGTGCCTGTGTTTGGGAATGGTCAGATCGGACACCTTGAACCCCAGGGGATCTCGAGGACTCTCGCTCACGTGCAGGTTGCAGCACTGGGTAAGGGGGACAGAGAGGGACAGGAAGGTGAGCGCCCTGAGACTCAGTGTGCGTCTGGGTTCCTACCTCCTAGAAAGATTGCGAGGTTGTGTAGCAGGACCCTTTGCCCCCTGTGGAGCCTCCCCACCAGGCTGGGCTCTGCTCTCCCTCACCAGTCCCTCGCCCCCGTCTGGGTCAAGATGTGCTCCCCTCATGAAGATGCTTGCCTCGTGGGCAACCCCAGCCCCCACACCTGCCCTCACCTGCACCCTGATGCCCTCACCCTTCATTAAACTTCACCCCATCCTTGGACTCAAGAAAACATGGCCCTCAAATTTAAGCTGGGTTGTTTCTCTTTTGCAGACCCCGCCTGCCCCCAGCCATCCCGCAGGGCACAGGTATGTAGAACACACCCTGAAGGTAACATTCTGGCCCCGCCCCCAACCCTGAACTCACGAAGATGTGGCCCTTGTAGGTGTACTCCGGCCCCCGGCGTTTGGCCACGAGCAGCATCCGTGAGAAAAGAAAGAGCAGCCTCTCGCCCCCTCGAAGTCGGGGGCCGCCTCCTCCGCCACCTCGGAATGCGCCCTCTAGCACCAGCTCCCCGAAAGCACTGAGCTCCGGGCCGGTCCAGCCGCCAAGCCGCCGCTGCACTTCCTGCCGACCCGCCAGGTGCGCAGGGCAGAGGCCCACACGCACCGAGACAGGGAGGTTAGCAACGAGGCTGTGCTATCCCAGCCTGCCCTCCGAGGCCACCCCCACCAAAGGCCCTCAGGCCTGCTGCCCCCATCCAGCAGCCCCAACCCCCCACCCTGGGGTCACCTGGAGGCGCGCAGCATGCTCCTGCTTGCGTTTCATGTCATTGATGTACCAGGCGACCGCTGTCATGGACACAATCGCCTCCTCCACCATCTCGCGGCCCCCGGCGCCCGGGCCCTCCGCCCAGTGCTTGCCTAGTTCCTGCCAGGCAGCCGCCCAGGCGCCCAGGAAGGGAGACAGGAACAGGAGAAACGATGGTAAGGACAAGAGACAGATATAAAGGCAGGGACAGAGATGGCGACCCAGAGAAAGACGGAGACGAACAGGCAGAGACAGAAAGGGGAATCAGCTGGCGCCAGTCCCCACCGGTGGCCAGAACTTGCCCTGGGTCCGCCCCACCGCCGTACCACCAGGTAGTCAACGGCCAGGACCTTGCCCTCCCTGAGCAGCACCCCCAGGGCCACAGCTGACCTGCAGCAGCAGATGGTACTTGAGGATGCGCTGAACAGGTTTCAGCAGGAAGCTCTGCAGGGGCAGCGAGTGGCGGAGCTGGGCCTGGCGCTCCTGCAGCCACAGGGCTGCGGGAGGGGACAGCGACAGCTCCCGGAGCAGGGCTAGGGAGCTGGGGGCGGGGCACCGATCAGAGGGCCGGCAGCCCCCAGTGGGCGGGACGGGGTGGGGGCGTGGCCAGGGTTCGGGGGCTGGCAGGGGTCAGGAGCAGCTTAGGGAGAGCTGGGTTAAGGTCAAGGGCTGGCAGGGGCTAGAGCTGGGTGGGTAGAGGTGGAGGGAGGTTGGCTGGCACATCGACTCAGTGGGCAAAGGCCTGGGGCCCAGCGGGGGCTCCTCACTCCTCACCCCTCACCTCGGGTAGTTCATGCAGTACAATGTGTAGATGTCAAAATCCTCACTCTGTGGGTGACATGGGAGTCAGGGAGACCTGAGGTCCCAGCTCCCCGGGACACCCCCCGCCTTACCAAGCCCCATCCCAGACTGAGAGCCCTCGCCCGGACTCACCCTCTGCACAAAGCACTCGGCGATGCTCCCTGCGCTGCTGCTGCCCTCCAGGTCCTCCAGGAGCTCACTGAGGTGGGGAGAGGGGGAGGTCAGGGGCTGCCCCGTCCGCACAGACCCCGTGGAAGGACTCCAGGAGGCTGGGGGCTCGGTGGCTGCCTTTGTATCTGAAAGGAGTCTTCTGATCGCTACGTGGGAGATCACAACCCGCTCGGACTTTGCCCATGGACAGTGTCACGTTCCTCAGCTCTAAATCTTGTCACAGCTGGCATGAGCCTGGGGGCGGGGGTCTTGTGATACGACCCAGGGAGAGGGTGTCACGACCCTCAAAGCTGAGGTCCTCTTAAAAGGCTGTCGTGATCCTGAGATCCTGTCACGACATCTCAGAGCTCCCGCAATAACGTCAAGGCCAATCTCATTAAGACGCTCAGAGGTATCATGATCCTTGGACGCCGGCCTCTTCCTCACAGGGTCCAGGCCGACCATCTGGTTTGTCTGGGACTGAGGGGTTTCTCGGGACTATGTGGTCACGCAAAGGCTCACACTGGCACGCTCCTCAGGCCCCTCACGTGAGCCGTGGATTCATCGTGATCACAGACCTGACCTAGTGCTGAGAACCCATCCCAGTAGTTAGACGTCATCTGGGTCCTCAGGCCTATCCAGCTCACCGTCCAGCACTCCGGTTCCTCGCTGCCCGTCAGGATCCCTGCCCAAGGTCGCTACATCCCATGCACCAGCCTGGACAGGGTGCCGGGGGGCTCCAAGGCTCGGGTTAGGATACATCCCACCTCCCCTGACCCTGCCAGCTGGTGCCCCTCCCCGTCCCTCCCGCCTCTGACCTGCTGAACTCGTAGATGTCCTCGATGTTGGCAAAGAGTATGCCCACCTGATCCGCGCTCAGCCCTAAGACCCCGCCATCCAGCAGAGGGCCCAGGTAGTCCTGTGGGGACGACTGGGGTTATGGGGGCAGCGGAGGGCTGGCCTGGGTCCCCACTGTGCTCAGGAACCCGCCCGCCTCACCTCCACGATGCTGCGAAGGTCCCGGACGTAGGCCCGCTCCGTCTCCACGATCTCTCGAGCCACTCGCTCCAGCCTCGAGGGTTTGGCCGAACTCGGAGTCCCCACAGGTGACAGATGCAGGCGAATGGGGGGGCCCGGAAGGGGCTCTGGCCTAGAGGCTGAGCAGGCTGGGGGGGGCCCGGGAGCCGGGTCCCCCTCAGAGCCCACTGTGCTCAGGGACGTGGAGCTCCCAGAACCTCGCGGGGAGGCCATGGCAGGGGCTGTAGGGGCTGCGGGAGGGGGTGGGGGGGGATGTGGAGCAGGAGATCAGGCTGTGTCCCCAGCTGAGTGAGTGCAGCCCTACACTCACCCCAGGTCAACTTCTGTTCCCCGCCCCCACCTCCCGGGGCTCCCTTCTCTCCCCACTGCACTGCTTTGGTCCAGGATCTTCCCTGGGCTTCGACCTCCACTCTTCTAATCCACCTCCATGTGTCAGCCTGGGAGATCTTTATTAATTTGCCCGTTTGACCCTGTCACTCTAAGTATAACCCCTTCACGCCCTCAGGAGAAAGTCCAAACTCCTCAGATCCACTCGGCCCTATGCAACACGGCCATCAGAGGCTTTTCCTGTCTCTCTCTTCCCTCAGGCACGCCAATTCTCCCACTCCAGACTCCAGTCATACTTGGCTGCTTTCAATTATTTTAAGCAATTGCGTTTTTAAGACACAGCCTTCTCTCACCTCTGCACATACTCTTCCCTCTGGGAAGAACACTCTTCCTTGCTTTTCCTAATTCATGCCTCCTTATCTTTTAATTCCACCATGTCTCCTCTTCCAGGAAGCCTCCACTGACTTCAATACTGGGCTCCCACAGTGAAGGGAGGGGGCTTTCACCCCACCCCTTCCCAGCCTTAACCATTGACCCTGGGTGTCCCCCTCTGGACTGTCACCATCTAGGAATGGTACCATCTACCCCACCAGACTTGGGAATTCTGTGTAGGCAAGGCTGGACTGTCTTGGTTGGTCACCCTGTGGCCAGCCCTGGGCCAGCCCGTGAATGAAGGAACAAATGCCCCGCAGCTCCACTCTCCCCTGCACGCTCACCTGTCTGGGTCTCACACACGGCTGCGCAGTCACACGCTTCACCTGCGGGGCCACGGCCAAGGCTAGGGCTGGGTTTGGACAGGCTTGGTCCACGGGCTCCCTCGGGCATGGCTGAGTGGCTCAGCGGCTTCTGCGGAAAGACCCCCTTCTCGGATATCAGGACCCCATCGGCTTCCCCGCCGCCCACACTCCCAGCTTAGGCCAGAGAATCAGGAGTGGGATCTAAATCCAGGAGGAACCGGAGAGTAAATAAATAATGGGGCAGACAGAGGCATAGCGATAGGAAGAGGGGCACCAAGAGAGATAACGCAGAGAAAAAGATGGAAAGGTTGAGACAAAGAGCGAAGCTGGGAGTCTGGTCTGTCTGGGGCCGAGGCTCAGGGATCCTGGGAACGTTAGGGCTCTGGCTGGAGCCGAGGGCGAGGGGCAGGGCTGGGAAAAGCCGTGGGCGGGAGGCCTCGAGGTCCCTGGGGAGGGCGGAGGAGGCTGGGGGACCGGATGCCAGGGTCCTGCAGACGGCTCCCTCCCCCGCTCAGGGCTGCGAGTTGAGGCGCTGGCCCTGGGCCCTCGACCCAGCCCCCTCTCCAGGCAGTCCCCTCCGCGATCCGCTTACTATCCCCACCGCCGCAGCCAGGGTCCCCAGCGCCTTCCCACACCCCTTCAGACCCAAACTCCCGCCGGCGCCTCCGCTCGCCCCCCGCCGGCACGCCCCCTCATTGTTCAGCGGCAGCGGCGCCGCCCCCTCCCCCAGCCCGTCGGGGCCCCTCGCCTCCCGCCTCACCTCCCAGGGAGTCTCCAGCCCCGAACCGAGGCTGCCGGATTCCTATTCAACCCTAGCACGGTCCCCGGGGAGGCGCAAAGCCGGACTCCTGGGTCTCTGCAAGTCAGGGGCGTGAACTTCGGGCTCTCAGGCTCCGGGAACCAGAATCCGAGGTCTCTCCGAGGGTGGGATGCAGCGGTCCGAATTTCTTGGTCCTCTAAATGGGGGATGCTCGCAGTCTCGACTCTTGGGTCTCAGATGGAGCGCTGGGAACCCAAATTCCTGAGTCTTCTTGATAGGGCCGTGGGGCTACTGGATTCCTGAGTTCTCGTAACTCTAGGAGCAGGGATTAAACCATCCCCCAGGCGGAAGCGCAGGGGAGTCCCCAATTCCTGGGTCCCCTTGAAGTAGTGGGTGTTTCAGCACCAAACAGACTGGCTGGGGTGCTAGGAGTCCGTTTGCCAAGTTCAGATGTCTGGGCTCGGGTATCTGGGAACCGTTGGAGGTAATCACCGGTCCGGGATCCTAAGTTCTTTAAACCGGGGTGCAGGAAGCTCGGCCTCCAGGAACGCGCGGGGCTGATGTCCCGGACTCCCGGCTCCTCCAGGAGGGGGCGCTGGGCACCTGGATATCTGGGGTCCTTTAGACTAGACGCGGGGGCCCGGGCTTCGGGGTCTCTCAGGGCGCGGCGCAGAGACTCTTGACGCCACAGTCCACGACTTTGGACCCCTCAGGCTCTGAGATGAGTACCACCGGGCTCCGGCGGCGCCAGCGCCACATCGCTGTCGGGAGAGTCCGGTCCCAGTTGTGCGGCGGGGGGCGGTCGCCTAGGGCTTCCCCTCCCCCCCCCCCGCCCCAGCGGCCCCGGCTTACATCCTGTTCCCGCCCGCGGGGGGGAGGGGCAGCCTTCCGGCCAGCCAGTCGGTAAAGGGTTAAGACCCCTCCCCCCGTGTTCTGAATATTCATGAGAAGGCGAGTCCCAGGAAGGCTACACCCCCACATTCCAAACGCCTCTGACTTTTCCCTTTTACAGCAAGGGCCTTCGGGGCGTGAGAATCCGGAACTGTAACGCACTTTCTCCCATTGGTCAACTGAAAAATTTGTATTTGCATATGCAGTAAAAGGCGGGGCTGTCCAGCGAGGTCACGTGGCCAAGAGCGACTGAAGGACCTCGCGACGCGAGGGTGCGGCCGGAGCTCCAGTGGCGCAATCGGTTAGCGCGCGGTACTTATACGACAGTGCGAGCGGAGCGATGCCGAGGTTGTGAGTTCGATCCTCACCTGGAGCATCTCTTTTCCTTTTAGCAGCACTTCACAAATTTATATCTTGTAAGTGGACTGAAACATCCACGTCATCACTGAGGGGAGTGGACATTCGATCTTCAGAGTTTTGGGGTTAGAAAGACTCCCGGAACTCCGGCAGCTGCCCGGGAGTGTTCTGTATTGTGGGGAGGTGCCGTGTCCATCCTGGCCGCCAGAGGGTGGTATCGCCTCTTATATGCCTGCGAATTCAACTGGGTCTGCAAATCTCAGTTTAAGACTTCTATAGATGTGTTGGGTCCTCCTCCGCAAACTGTCTATGGCATTGCCTTTTTCTCCATCTCCTACCCCTCCACCCCAGTTTCATTGAAATATCACTGCCATATAACACTGTGTTAATCCAAAGTGTACAACGTGATTCGATATATGCGTAAATTGTGAAAAGAGTTTAGTTGACATCAATCATCACGTAGTTGTTTTCCTCCTGTGTCTTGGATTTTTCATTCTCTCTCTTCCTCCCCTTTTCTGAGTTTGTTTGTTCCTTTCAACAAGAACTAAACATGCACTATGTGACTGACTCCCATTTAGGGTTTAGTTGTGAGTGATTGAGCAGTGAACAAGGCAAACTCCCTGCCCGTGAGGATCTGGCATTCTAGTGGGAGAGGCAAGTTTCTACAAACATGAAAACTAAGTGTATTTTATATGTTAGGTGGTGGTGAATGTCGTGGAGAAAGTAGACTAAGAAAGTGGGGGGGGGGTGTTGGGTGTGGGCTGCAGTAATAGTAGTCAAACTATTGTTTGACTAAAGGAAATGTCACTGAGGAGACATTTGAGTAGGGACCTAATGGAGGGGAGTAAGCCATAGGGATACCTGGAGAATATTTCAGTCAGAGGTAGCAGCCTGTGCAAAGGCCCTGTGGCTGAAGCACACACATCAGGTATATTGGTGGAGCAGCTAGGAAGCCAGTGTGACTACAGCAAGAGTAGCCAAAGGTAAGACTCAGGCCACGTAGGCTGGTGAGGTCTTAGGACTTTGCCTTTTATGTGATCTGACTCTGACTCAGGTGTCAGGACAGGTTCCCTGAGGTTTTCTTGTACCGGAGCAGGGAGAGGCTGAGAGCAGGGCCAGGGCCAGGAAACCAGGAAGGGGCTGCTATGAAGGTTCAGGTGGGAGATGATGCTGGATAGGACCAGGGTGGGGGCCACAGGAGGAGGCAGGTAGATCTATTTAGAAGGTGGGTCAGACCGAATTGCTGTTGGACTGGGCTGTGAGCTTGACAACCAAGAGTCAAAGGGACTCCCGGGTGTTTGGCACCAGTAGCTGGTGGTAGAGACCATTTTCTCAAATGAGGTTCGCTTCTGTTTCTAGAAGGGGCAGAGACTCTGTTTTTGCTAAGGGAATGGCCAGAGATGTCAAATATCTCGTTCTTGAAGTGTCTGTGAATGTCTCTGCGTGGCTTGTTCCCGCTCTCTGCCACCCCCACTGTCTTTGGGTGGCCGCGTTTCTGTATTTTTTCTCCAACCCTCTTCTAAGTTTGCCGATCTGAGCCCTTTCCCAAAACTGAAGGGAGAGCAGCTTCCTGGAAGAGGAGATCAATGGTCAGGGCCGGCCAGAGTGCAAGGAGAGAGCCAAAGAGGAGGGGGCAGGGAGAGGGGAAGGGAGAAGGCAGAGGAGGGGAGGGGGCTGGACAGGGAGAACCCCGGCAGGAGCGAGCAGAAGGGTGCGGAGGAAAGGTGCAACCGAGGCGACTAGGAGTGAGATGCAGGGAGGGGGGAGAAGGGAGAGGAGAACTGAAGGAAAGAGAAGAGGGGGTAAGGGACAGGGGTGGGGGCTGGAAGGGGAACACAGTAAAAAGGGGAGAGGAAGAGTTGGGGGGAAGGGCGGTGCAGGAGGGTAACGGAGGAGGAACTGACGGGGGGAGGGTGGGGAGAGGAGAGGGAAGTGGGGGTGGGGAGAGGAAAGCGGAGGGGGGGTAAGGGGTAAGGGGAGGGGCGGAGGCGGTGGCGGAAGGGGGGCGGGGCGCCGGCGCTGACGCGGGGCGGCTTCCGGGCGCGGGGCGGCCGGTTCCCCCGCCCCAGGGTGGTTCCCGCCGCCTGTTGCCTTGTATGGTCCGAGGACGCAGCTGTCCTCGGGGCCCCGCCCGACGCGGCCGCGACCCACACTCGGGCCCGACGAGCCCGACCCCCAGCTCGACCTCGCTTGGCGCGTGAGATCTCGAGCTTCCAAGCCCCCCCCCAAATGCCGAGATCCCGCAATGCCAAATTTCTCGGGCCCCGTCGGGCCCAGACTCTGCAACTCCGAGGTCCTGGGGGCCCGGAAGTCCAGAAGGCTGCACTCTGTGATCCCGGAAAGTTTTCTGAGCCATCAAGGGTCTAGAATTCCAAGACGCCGAGACTGCCTCTGAGATTCGGGAATCCTGAGGCTTCCAAGCTGCCTCCCCCGGGGTTCCGAAAGTCTGAGTCCCCCAGGCTCTCACGTCCTGGGACGCCGGGTGGTGGGACCCTTCTCCCCCCCAGGACGCCCCGACTTTCGGGATGCCTCCTCCCCCGCCCGCCGCGCCCGGCCGCCCCCGTCCGCGCTGGGCTCGCGCCCCGGCACATTCCGTCCTCTCCGCCCCGCCCTCCTCCCTCGGCCCCTTGGGGAAGGAAACATGCAGTCCCCGCCCGCGCCCGGCCGAGAGCTGGGTCAAGGAGCTCGGCTAGACGGGAACGCCTGCGTCCCCGCGCCCCGGGAACTGGCTCTCCAAGTTCCTAAGGTGACCTCACCTGGGCCCGCCCTCTCAGGTGAACGGCCGGGCCAGGTGACGTCACTTCCTGCCAGGTAAGCGCCGCCGGCAGCTCGGTGGGCCGGGGTTTCGGTGGACCCGACCCATCCCAGAAAAAAGGTGCCCGCCGCCCTTACAGCTTCGAGACCGCACAAAACCCGGGATTCCAGTTTACACACAGATTCCCTTTTATTTAAAAATTCCAAAAAACACAAAAATAAACTTTTAACAATATATATTACTTAATATATTATTATAGCATACTTATAACAATAATTATTCCATCGTTTTCCAATATTACAAAAAGGAAGAAGAAAAACACAAGGGAAGCAGACGACCCAATATATATAAATACTATAAAATCTACTAGAATAAATAAAGTCGTCATAAATAAAGGGCCCAATGTGGGGGGGGGGAAGGAGGGTGTTTGGCAATGGCTTTGGCTACTTGCTTTTGAAGGGAAATTTTGAGCACCAGGATTCCCCCGGGGAGGGGGGGGGGCCCAGTGCCACCAGACACTGGGGCCTCAGGACCTAGGAGAAATGGGGGGGGCACTGGGAGCCTATTATTCACAGCATTGGGAAAGGGGGGCGGGTCGAGGGCTCACTGCCCTCCTCAAATGTGCTACATTTTTTTTTCCCTACAGGACCCCAGGAAACACTTCTTCCAACATCATGAACACCGAGCTTGCACACTTGGGGACCTGCCCCAGTGTGAGGTCAGGGGAGTGAGTTAATGCACTTGGAAGTTGAGGGGGGGAAGCTACCTGAGTCCCCCAGTTCCCCACAGCCCCAGGGCCCCTGGGGAGCCCACAGCGAAAGAGAAATGGCCCCCTTGAGATCCAGCTGATCTGTACCGGGCAGGCACTTGTCACTCAGAAACCGAGATTCGATTGAAGATGGGGAGGCGCCGAGGGGCCGCAGGTGGCTGAGGCGGCCCAAAAACCCCAGCCTCGAAGACAGGTGAGTCGGAACCCCCCAGGCTGCTGCCACTGCTGGCATAGTCGTCGGGATCAGATCCCAGGGAGTGCGCAGAGGGGCTCCGAGCCAGGCCACCCAAGGGCCCCCACACGCTACTGGGGGTAGCCCTTCGGCAGGAGGGGCAACAGGCTGGTGTGGGGTCCCTTCGGGCCACGGGGGTCCCAGGGGCAGCAGAGAAAGCAGAGGGTGACAGTGGGAGTTCCCCAGGTGGGGGTGGGGGGGAGCTGGAAGGAGAGAAGGAACAGGATGACAGGGAGGGGCCTGCGAGGCCCACGGGTGGAGGTGACGGTCGGCGGCCAGAGGGCAGGCCCGAGAAGCTAATACTCTGGCGCAGCACATGGGGGTGGCCCGGAGCCGCCAGATCCTCGCTGGGGTTGTGGATGAAGTGGCATCGCGAGCCGTAGGGGCAGCGGCCCTGGAGGTAGAACTTGTGGCAGAGCTCTGTCTTGTACTTGGGGTGGCGGCTGGCCTGGCGCAGCTCGCCCAGGCCGTGGGCAAACTGGCACTTCGCCCCATAGCGGCAGCGCCCGCTCTCTGAGAAGGTCCGACACAGCTCAGTCTTGTAGCGGGATGAGGTGGTGGGGGTCACAGTAGGCGAGGTGGGTGAGGGTGACAGTTCGGGGCCCGGGCGGGGAGCCAGGGGTGCAAAGCCTGGGGGTGGTGGCACCCAGCCACAGCTTCGACCCTCCACCAGGCTGGTGGAGCGGCCAGGCAGACGGGCACCCACCCCGGCCGGGGTGCTGTCGGATGAGCTGAGGCTCCAGAGCCCGGAGGAGGCCCAGCTTGCGCCGGACTCGCTCTCTCCGTGGTCAGATGGCAGGTCAGGGCTCAGCGACAGGAGGCTCTGTGGGAACAGGGATCGGTTAAGACACCGAAAATGCTGGGTGACGCCCCACCACGGCTGCAGGGCACCTGAGAGCTTGCCAGTCCGGTTTGTGGGCTCCCGGCCTGAGCCCCACCTGCCCACGCTAACACGCGGGTTCCGGATCGCAGGGGTCCCCATTTGGCGGTTCTGAGTTTAGTCGCGACGGAAGCCTACCCGAGGCACCCAGGCACCTCGGCTCCCCCGGCTGGATCAAGAGAAGACCCCCCCCCCCCCCCCCCCGAAGAGGACAGGCACGCCGCTGTCCTCTCCGTTTTGAGCCTCTGGGCCTCTCGGGATCTGACCCCGCGCCTCGGGTTCTCCAGTTTCACAACTGGAGAAGCCGGCAAACTTCGCCCAGGAGCCGGGATCTCTCCGCTTTTCGAGTTCCCAGAGTTCTCCGCTGGGTCAAGGGGTGGACAGAAGTCGGCTCCCCCTCACCCGACACTCCAGCCCCAGAAACGCCTCCGCGCGAAACCGCGCCCTCAGTAGCTACTCGGGGGTAAACCAGGTGTGGGGCCATTTCCGCCTCCAGACAGCCCTCGTCTGAGAAAAGTCTCCCACTTTTCCACCTCCAATGTTTGGGCCGAGACCCGAAAGTCGCAGGCTCCACTTCGCCTCTAGAGGATCGCATGGGTCGGAGAAGGGAGGCAGGGACCCCGGGCCGGAGTGTGCGGCTGTACGGAACCCCGCTTTGAGAAGGGAGCCAGAGGTCCCGCGCCCGAGTTTTCGGCGCTGGAGAGCCCCAGTGTAAGAAGGGAGTCAGGCATGCGGGCCCCGGGGGGTGCCGGTGGTGGGGGGCTCACCTCGTAGATGGCGGCGAGATCCATGGCGGCGCGGACGGCCGAAGGGCTGAGAAGTCGGCCAAAAGTGGGAGCGCTGAAGTCAGGCTGCGGTTGGCTGCTGGAGCCGGGGTTTTTATAAAGATGTGAGGAGGCGGGGCCAGCGGGGCGGTCCCGGGTGGGTGGGGCCAGGAGGGGCGCTTCCCGGACGCGCGCCCCCAGCAAGGCCCGCCCGGCACCCCGCCGGGACGCGCGGGGAGGCGGGCCGGCGGCCGGGCGGGGAGTGCCCGTGGCGGGGGGTGGGGTGGGGGGTGTCGGCCCAGTTTTCAACGCTGGAGACTGAGGCGCGGGGAATCGAACTGGGCCGCGGTGGGGGCAGGGCTCCTGGGGGAACTGACCTGGGCAGAGGCCAAGAGGGCGTGCGCGGGAGAGACGGACGGGGGCGGAGAGAGACGCGGAGCGAGAAAGAGCCAGAAATGGAGAGACCCAAAGAGAAAAACATACTGAGAGACAGGGAGGGAGAGACACCCACTGGGAGACGTACACTGAGAGGGTGAGACAGGGCAGGGAGAGGAGGGGAAGTTGGGAGACCGAAAAGACACGGGAGAGACATTCCCGGAGAGACAAACGTCAGAGCGAGAAGCGAGAGTCACATAAACAGAAAGGGGGAACAAGGAGAGACAAAGAGCTACGTACAGGAATCCGTAGGAAACGGAGAGGAGACAGGCCAGGTGGGGGATTCTGAGACCCGCCCGCCGGGCTCGGTCTCCCTCCCAAACAGCTCGGATTCAGAGACCTTGATCGCCGTCCCGTCCACCCCCACTCGCAGGGCACACCTGGCGAGGCAGGAAAGGAACCTCTCCTGCTCACGCAGAGCCTGGCACGTCGGATCGTTTCCTCTGGGCTAAGGGCAGAAAGTGCTTTACATACAGCGACTCGAGGAGGTTATACGCCCGTTTCGCACACCAGGAAACCCAGGCACAGAGAGGCCAAGTTAAGTGCGTGTTAGTAACTGGCCACAGTCTAACATCAGGGTCTTGAATTATGTTAAGAGTGTGCCCTCTGAGAAAACTCTAGAGTGGAAAGGGAGGAGGTCTTTTCTTGTGGCGGAGGGTTGCCTCGACGGAAAGCTGTTTTGAGGTGGAAGAAATGGATCATTCCCCCAACCGATGGTCGGACGGGTCTTAAATGGGTGTGCCTTGGGACAATTCTGAATTTGCGGGGACTGATTCCCACGTTGGCAAGTCTTTTATGGTCCCGGGGGGGGGGGTGCCCTGACAATCTGTTAAGCCCTGGGAAGAAAACTTATTTTTAAAGCGGGGCGGGGGGGGGGCTTGGTGAGCTGGCCGCCCTGAGTGAAAACACGGGGGTAGAAATCATAGCCGTGGCGTGCAGTGAGGACGGTGGAAAGTTCATTTTTGCAGGCGGCGGCCACGGGCTCGTATTGCGGTGGGGCGAGTCTACGAGGCACACCGACTTGCCCCGTCGGATCGAGCTCGGGGGAATCCCTGGTGCGGCGCTTTCTCGGGCTGAGGGCGCCTTCCCGGCCGGTCCCGTGAGCTGGGCGGCTGCGGGCGGCCCTCGGCACGGTTGCAGCCTCCCGCTCGCCCGTGACTCACTCGCAAGGGGCGGGGGAGGGGGGCTTCCTGGAAGCCGTGACGAGGAGGCTCGACCCGGACGCCCGGGTTCCTCTCTTGTAACCAGGGCTTCTGTCGCCTGTAAACACAGCCTCGAGGACAACGGGGGGGAAAGGGGAGGTGCGTGGCACCCGCCTCCTGGCCGGGCTCCAAATCCCGGCGCCGCTAGTAGGAGACGGAGGCGGCGGGCAAACGGGAGGTGGGGGGGTACCCTAGGGTCCCCGGAGTCGGGATCGGCTCTGGCCGCGATCCTGGAGGAGTTTCGATTCCCTGGAGAAGGGGAGCATTTCCCATCCCTGAGTCAGGCGGACCCCCTCCGCTCGCCTATCTGCTGAGTCATCGGCCCCGAGAGCCAGGACGCTTGGGATTGGGCGCCGCTCGAAGCGGCTGGAGAGGGGGCTTTGCGCGGGGAAGGGCCGGCCAGCCACCGAAACACGGACGGGTGGGGGAACCCCGGGGTCCGGGCCTCGGCCCCTCCTTTTTCAGATCCAGGGGTCCGGGTCTCCAAACCACCTCTTCGCTCAGATCCAGACCAGGCCCCCGGGCCCTCCTACATCATCAGACCCACAAGTTCGGGCGCCCAGCCCTCCGTTCTCTCAAGTCTGAGTCTGAGCCCTCAGCCCCTCCTTCCTCGGATTTGGGAGTCTGGCTCCCATCCCCCTTCCCACCCTGTCCAGGCCCCAGTGGCCCCAGACGCCCCAGCCCGGGAGGAAGTTCAGGGCAGGACTCCTCCCCGCTCCCCACGTAGCCAACGGGAAAATCCGTGGCCCAGCGGCGGCCGGGAATCCCCTCTGGAATGACGGTGGGGAAGGGGATGGCCGGGGTCCCCCGCGGGGTGCAGGGGGGCAGGTCCTGGGCGCGCCGAGGGAGGAGGGAAGGGGCGGAAACCAGAGAGGCTAAAAATACGGCGAGCACTTCCGGCCTAGGGGGAGGGGAACGGAGAGCAGAGTTTCCAGAAAAACAAGCGGGGACGGGAAACGCGGGGGTGTGAGAGCCGGTGCGAGTGCACGGGCGAGCAGGGGTGCGTGTGCCCGCAGCACGTGTGCGCGCCTGGCGTGACTGGGCGTGAGCGGGGCGGCCGTGCGTGCAAGTGCGCGGTCCAGCCGGTGGGCGGGCCGTCCCCGACGCGGTGTGACCGTGTGTGCACCGCGGGCACGAACGTGCGCACCCTGGTGTGCCCGCGTGCACCATTAGGGGAAGTAGCTGTGGGACACGAGTGTGTGCGCCCCGTTTCCTGTGTGAGGGCTGTGTACCCACGGCCCCGCCTGCCATGGCTGTTGTGAATAAAGGTGCGAAACCACCCCGTGCCTGTGTGGTTGTCGACGCTGTTTACTTTAATGGCCTCTGGCCCAGGGAGTGTGTACTGCACTGCAGCGGCCCTTGAGGTGCGTTCGTAAGAACGTGTGACCCACGCACCTACTTGCACATCTGTGGGGTCTGGAGTGGCGGCGCCTTCCGGAGTGAGGATGTGTGTGCATACAGCTTGAAGGGCGCGCGCGCGCGCGTGTGTGTGTGTAAGCCACCTGTGTGTCCCTGCAGGTGGCCGCGGCTGGGTGCAAGCTCCCTGTAGGTCTTTGTGTAGTGGATGGTGTACCCGTGTGTCTGTGTCCTTTCCTGGGGGCGACGCTGAGAACACGGAGGCCGGAATCTGGATGAGGTTCCCCGGAGGCCGGTCACGGGGCAGCAAAACTGATGAACTTTGTGGTTCGCACGCACATCATGGGAAGGGTGGCTGGTCAGGTGGCAGCCTCCGTGGGCATGGCACAGACGCGCACGCACACGCACGCACACGCTTCCACCTGAGAAGCATGATCTGTCCCCAGCTAAGGCTGCTTTTGATAATATTGAGCTGAGCGTAAGGGCTGAGTCAGCCTGTCATGGGCAAAGTCTGCGATGGGGTGAGAGATAGTGGGTTAAGTGGTGATCAGAGCTGTTTATATATTCATGTGGTTGGGTTGTTCCTGTAGAGTCTGTGGGACTGTCTGTCACTGGGTCGGAGAGCCTGATTGTAGGGTGGTGGGTTACACTGTCCTCTGGAGGAGGAGGTGGGGGGTCATGTGTGCCGGTGTCCCCACGGTCTGTTTTGCTGTGTGTGGCTGTGCATCTCATGGATGCCCTTCCCGGGAGTGTGTGGTTGCACACCAGGCTGTCTAATCTCCCTTTGGGTCTGATGATCTGGTAAAAATCTCCACGAAGGTCCTTCACGAGCTGCCTCAACTTCTGTACATGCCCGGTGCTCGAGGCGTCCACATCATTCCACAAACACATCAGCACATTCCTGCCTCCTGGCCTTGGCACCTGCCGTTCTTCTCCCTGGGATGCCTTCTCCAAAGGCCCACGTGCCTAGTCCCTCTTCCTCAATTTGGCTCTAATACCACCTTCTCAGCAAAGCCTTCATGAGCTCTGTCAGGGACTTTTTTTAAATTTTAATTTTTTTTAATGTTTATTTATTTTTGAGACAGAGACGGAGCATGAGCAGGGGAGGGGCAGAGACAGCGGGAGACACAGAATCCAAAGCATGTGCATGGCTCGAACTCACGAACTGTGAGATCATGACCTGAGCCGAAGTTGGACAACCAACCAACTCAGGCGCCCTGTCAAGGGCTTTTTACATAAATCTTATCATCTATTTAGCAAATAATACAGATGACATCTATTTACAGACTCTAATAATAATCATGAATACCTATGACCCACCACCCAATCTAAGCTCTCAAACTTTAGTGTCTTTTAGTGAAGTAACATAATTTTCCACATGCAAATCTTGCATTCGCGTTAGATTTAGTCCTGTGGATAGCACCTTCAGCTAGTGACTGAGAGCTCCACTGCCCTTCCTGAGGGTCAGCCCAACATGCCAGGCACTTCAAGAAAGGGACTTCTTAGGATGTGTACGCACGTGTGCACGCACACACAGACACACGCGCAGAGCGCTGGCCATTTCCCAGGACTCCAGTGTGGGGACTCGGGCTCTGGGTGAATCACAGGTCTTCACAGTCCCAGGGTTCCTCGCAGATGTGGGGTCCGGGACAAGACGCCTCTGGGCAGTGACACGGGAACCAGGGCACAGAAGGTGCTGGGTGGGGCAGTCCCAGAAGCCGGCTGACTCACTTGAGCCTTTCACACCCCAGTAGCTGAGCTCAGGCTGGTAGCTCCGCCTTGCACTTGCCCAGGCCTGAAAGCCATGGCTGAGCTCCCGAAGCTCTCCTTCTTGGGGAAGTGGGGAGCCCGGTGGGCCCCTCCCTCCCTGAAGCCCCCTCCCCAAGGCCTGCTTCCCGGAGCCGGGGCCCAGGCGCCTGGGTTCTTCCCCAGGACTGATGATTCACCCCTACTGGGGCCTTTTCACTTCTCCTTTGGGGCTAAAAATACAAGGACCCAGGCATCCAGCTGGGCCAGGCTTCACCACGGATTGCACAACGCCCCTAGTTTGAGTGCTGCTGACGCAGGCTCCAGGTTCGGGTGGGGGAGTGAGTTGCTCCCAGACCCGGCATGCTGAGGTCAGGGCCTAAAATCCCTTTCACTTCCCTTTTCCTCGGCTGAGGACCCTGGGGGCTGGGCTGACACTGGCAGTGTGGGGGATCCCTGGACTTGGCTGTGGCCCCTAGAAATGAAACTCCCTCCCCTGGCCCCAGTTAACCCAGGGGACTGGCTCTCAGAATCCGGCCCCCTTCGTAAGAGACAGAGTCCCAGTTAGGAACTGGGGGCAGAAGACAGCAAAAGGGGGCTAATCTAGGATAGAGATGGTTGGAGACAGGACCACAGAGGCACAGAGAAAGAGACAAAAAGAGACCAAATGAGAGAGAGACAACGGACACGTGCCTTAGAAACATACAGAGGGAAAGCCAAGGGAACACGATCAGAGAGACCACCCCTGAACTGGGACAGAACCGGGGAGGGCTGAAGGAGAGAGGCCAGGGGCCCCACCCAGGCCAGGCTGGGGGACAGCCCCTGGAAGAGGGCATCAGCAGGCAGTCCAAAGTGCATCCCGGGCTCCGCCGGCAGCAGGCCCCCGGGGCAGAGGCGAGGCGACACCCTCCAAGCTCCCCGCCGGCCTCTGCTGCCCCCTGCTGGCCCTGGCCACAGTGCTCGGGCAGCAAGAAAAGTCAAAGACAGATGGGCTTTGAGGTCGCTCTTCATTCCCTCCCTGTCCCCTTCCCCTTCAGCCTCCCCCGCCCCCAGCCCTGCCAGCTCACAGGGTGCCCCCAGGGCCTGTAGGCGGTGCAGGCGTCTTGCCCGTGACCTTGTTGGCACAGTCCAGCAGAGCGGTGTGAATGTCCTTGGCACAGGCAATCTGGGCTTTGATGACTGCCAGGTACTGCGGGTAGGGCAGGCTGTCAGGCTGCACCGCGTCCGGTTTGGTGGCCGTGGGCACCAGCGTCGGAGAATGCTTGGCGCTGTCACAACTCTGGGACAGGCACTCATGTGCCAGGCGCTGTGGACAGGCGGGCAAGGGGCGGCATCAGTGTCACTCCGCGTACTCCCGCCCCCACCCTGAGGGCCGGCCAGCCAGCAGTAGCCTGCTCAGCCTCTGGACTCCCAGGGTCTTGGGGTCAGAGCCCGACCCCCCCTCCCCACCACTAGTCACATGCTGGGTGACCTCCAGTGTGCAGCTGCTCCTCTCGGAGCCCATTTCACCCGCTACCTCACCAGGCGGGGATGGTGAGGACAGCGTGTGAGAGACACGGGCGCAAGGGCGTCACCTAAGTGCTAACTGATGAATGTCAGCCCAGTATTAATGTGACTGTCCCTAACTGCAACCTTGGCACCGGCAGTGGCTTCTCTGATGACACCTGCTCCTGTGGCTGCTCCGTCTAGACACCGCTTCGTCTGCCCGAGCCTTCAACGGGGGCAATGCCCAGGTCTTGTCTCCTCTTGGGGCTGCCCCACCCACACGCCCCGCTCCGTTCCCACCTCTGCGCTGACACCACATCTGTGTCCCTGGCCTCCCTGGGAATCCTCAGAGCTCTCCCACCCTCCCCACCAAACTATCCCTCATCCTGGGTCCCTGTCTCAGGAGCCTGGCTTGGTGCGGCCTCGCCCCCTTGAATTCTGCCACAGTTACCTCCTTGGGCTCCCAGTGTCTACACCCGCCTCCTCTAACCCACCCTCCACTGGGCAGCTAGAGGCACAGTCCTAATGAAGTCAGCAAGCAGGCGCATGACCTTCTCTGCTTCATGCCCTCCGTGGCTCCCCAGCGCTGTATCCAAAATCCAACCAGCCCTGATGTCTCCTACACCTCAGCTAAACGGAATTTCAGGACACTCCTAAAGGGGGAGTCAGCGCAGAAGCCAGTTCCTTCTGGCTGAGACACCTTGCTCCCACCACCAGGCTTCCCAAATTCTAAGTTTGCCTTTGAAACCTCATTCAAAATGACGATGATGACACAACAGGAAACGTCTGCCACGGGGCTTAGTACCACGTTCAGCTTTTTACACATATGATCTTGCTCTCTTTTCCCAGAGTTTTCTCAAAGGAGAAACCCAGGGCTCACAGGTAGCAACTGGGGGTCCACCTGATTCCAGAGGCTGTGCTCCTGGCCACCCCCTCTCCTTGAAACTCCTACGCCTCAGCTCAGATGTGCTTTCCACCCGTAACCCTCCCCGAGCCTCCTCTCCCTACCCTACCTTAGGCAGAGTCAGTTTCTTCTCTGGGCTTCTATGCTCCCCCGAGTGCCCCATCACTTTACTTTTTTCTTTTTTCTCTCATTTTAATCCCGACCCCTGCCCTAGCAGGCTATGTGCCTCCCCCATCAGAGCCCTGACTTCTGCGGCCTGGGCTTTTTCTATTACAGCCCTGACCACTCGGAGCTGTCACTGTTTGAGTGAGCTAGAAGCTTTGTGAAGGCAAGGATCGGGGCAACACTGTGTCCCCAGCATCAACTGATGCCGACGCCTGGCCCACATGAGGTGCTAGGTGTGTGTGTGTTGACTGACTGAACGAGGGTTCCTGACGACCTGGGGACTGAGGCAGGACTGCGGTCCCCCAGTGTCCAGAAGGTCCCTTACCAGGCAGAGCTCCAGCTGGTCACAGAGTGCGTAGAACTCCTCCAGACACTTGTCAAAGCGCTGTATAGGTCCGTCACTGCTCTTTCTGTAGCCCAGGAGAAGAAGGTGACTGAAGAATGGATTTCCAATCTCGGGGACGTCAGTGTCTACCCAACCAAGTGTTCATGAGGAAACCATGTTTAGGCCCAGAAGCCCCAAGGCAGGGCCTAAGGGACTGTTTTAGAAGAAGCAAAAGAGCAAGGCCAGATGCTAGGGAGTGGGGCTTGAAAGCAGAAGGAAGGGGGTTGGGTGGGTAGGTGGGTGGGAATCCGGGTATGAGTTTCTAAGACTAGGAAATGAGGACTATACTCACTGTCCGTTGTCAATGTTAGTGTTCTGAATCAAGTTCTGGGCTGCAACTTTCATCAAGGTCTAGTTAATTAAAAAAAAATGCAGAAAATGGAGAAGCAGAAAGGGATACTTTTGGTTGGTGGATTTAGTCTTAAGATCTATCCGATTTCAAGCCTTCTCTTCACTTGGCACGTCTCCTCCTGTCAATCCGGAATAGCATCCGCATTTTCCTAGAGGCGCGCTCTCATCTAGGATTCTTGCCAGTAATTTCCCCGACAGATCTTAAATCCTCCCTCACCCACCAACCACGGGCAGAATCTCTGTGCAGGCCAGTCCTTTCCTCAGGCTTTAACAGCCAAAACCTTTTTTTTTCCCCTTCAAACTCCCTCCCACTCGGGTTCCGGCCATTCCCAGGCCTCACATCCGTGCTCATCCCGCTCACACTGCCAATCTGCATAGCATCGCTTTGGCCTCATCAAGAGGGCCAACTCTCATTCCCGTTCCCCGCCTAACGCTCCTTTGCTCTCTCCCACCCTGCAGAGTCCCTCTGTCCTCCCCCGCCCTCCCCCGCCCCCTTGGAGTCAGATAACCAGACCCGGATAGCTTCTCGCCGCTCCTAGCCAATCACCTGCAGACTCTCCTTCAACTGCGGGATGAGCATCTTATAACGCTGCACTGGATCGAAGTCCTGTTGCTGTTGCTGCAAAAGCCCGCTCTGGGCAGGCCCCACCAGCTGTGCTGATGGTTGCGGCTGCTGCTGGGGACCCGGGCCCCCAGACGAACCCGGGCCCGACACACCTGCAGCCGCCGAAGCCGCAGCAGCCTGCTGCTGGGACGCAGCCATCTTGCTTGCTTAGCGCGCCGGAAGTGCGCCACAAGTGCGTCTCTCCGGGTTTCTTTCTAGCATCTAGGTCTCCAGGCCCTGTTTGCTAGTTAGCTCCGCCCCCAAGCAATTCGGCCAATGGAAGGAAGGAATAACCACCCACACTTGACGCTCAAATAAAACGCCCATACGGAGATACAGATTCGCCAATCACAAGAGGTGTTTCCTCCTTCGCTCCGCCCTTTGTCCACCTATTCACCTATCCGAGTGTGAGTCTCATACGGACTCTATTTCCCAGAAGGCCTTGCGGCTTGAGGCGCCCTGTCGGGTCCTCAGCGTCTTGGCGCCAATTGGTGGAGCCAGAGCTGCGAGTCCGTCTTTGGCTCTGCCTGTGCGTTTACCTGAGTCTCTACTGGAGCTCTTCTGACCAGCCCACCTCATTCGGACCCTGCTCCGGCAGAGAGCGGCGCCAACCCGAGTCCACCCTCGGATTAGGCGTCCGCCGACGTCCGTACACTCCTCCGCCTCTCCCCGCGGCTCAGCAAGGACCCCGTCCGGGCTTCCTTAGCCTTGTCGCCATGGCGCCCACCATCCAGACTCAGGCCCAGCGGGAGGATGGCCACAGGTAGGCGCCACGCCACCTGGCTGCACCGCTTTCCTCTAGGTCTATCCAGGTTTCGGCGAGGCGAGGGGGTCGGGCTCGGGTATCTTCCTACAACGTCAACAGCCCCCCCCCCCCGCCCCTAGGTCTGCCCGTGATGTCACAACCTTCCCGCGAACGCCGTGACATCACGGAGCGCTCACCTTTGACGTAGGGGGGGGTGGGTTCCTCCAGGGGTGGGGTGTTGCACCCTTCTCCCTGCCATGGAGTTCAGGGATTAGGCTCCTGGGGTGCTAAGTAGAAGGGATTGTGCCCTTACTACTCCAGTCAAGCGTTTGGAGACCCCTTTTTCCAAAAGCAATCGAGTACGTAGTTCTATTAAAGCACATGAAGACATTGTCTCCACAAGGGATTGAGCACTTGGCTTCATTTATGGAAGCATCTGCAGACACTTAAAAAAAATTTTTTTTTTAAATAGTTTATTTACTTCCGAGACAGAGAAGAACAGAAGATGAGTTGGGAGAGGGTCAGAGAGAGAGAGGGAGACACAGAATTTGAGACAGGCTCCCGGCTCTGAGCTGGCAGTCAGCACAGAGCCCGACGCAGGTCTCGACCCCGCGAACCGTGAGATCATGGCCTGAGCGGAAGTGGGACGCCCAACCGACTGAGCCACCCAGGCGCCCCTGCAGACATTTTATTAAAAAGGAGTTAAACACTAGGCTTCCCCCATTAAAGTCCTTGGAGCACCCCTCCCAAAAGGGATTATCATTTGTCACCCCCCTCCTTCCCTCTTTTAGGAGCTTGGAAAAGCCCCCCTCATTCTATAAATCCTGTTCTCTAGCTTTCTGTCAACGTCTTTCTCTCTTACCTACCAGGCCCAATTCTCACCGGACTCTGCCTGAGAGGTGAGCCCCATTGTGTTTTCCCAGAAGGGGTGGGTCAGTGGGGGGCTGGGAACAGAGGTGGGGCAGCAGGGGCCAGGTTTTGAGCCACTGTCTTCCCAGGTCTGGAGTGGTCTGCCGAGTCAAGTACTGCAATAGCCTCCCTGACATCCCCTTCGACCCCAAGTTCATCACCTACCCCTTTGACCAGAACAGGTGAGGCTGCCATGGAGGATGGCGAAACCACCCACTTCGAACAGGAGTGCCTTGAGGAAAAATTGCTTCTCTTGTCGGCTTCTTTTTTCTGAGCCTAGAACGGTATCTGGCATATGGTAGTAGGTGCTCCATAAATACTTGTTAATGAATGAAACAAGCAATGTCCAAGTTTTTTCCCACCGAAGAGCCAGCCTTCTGACTCTACCATGGGGGAGTTTTGAGTTCCTCCTTGGAGGAGCTTAGGCTTGGGGAAGCAGGGATATGAAGGGTAAAGCTGGAATCGGGAAACCATAATGGGTATGTTTCCCCACCCAGGTTCGTCCAGTACAAAGCGACTTCCTTGGAAAAACAGCACAAACACGACCTCTTGACTGAGCCAGACCTGGGGGTCACCATTGACCTCATCAACCCTGACACCTACCGCATTGACCCAAATGGTGTGTGAGAAGGCAGGGCGGGCCTGCTCTAGGCCAGCCAAGGTCAGGACCTCCCTCATAGTCTTCCTCCTCCCTTGTTCTCCTCTAGTACTTCTAGACCCAGCTGATGAGAAGCTTTTGGAAGAGGAGATCCAGGCCCCCACAAGCTCCAAGAGGTGAGAGTGGGTGCGGAGTAGGGACTGGAGATGTGGGGGGACGTATGATGGGAGGAGGCTGGTGGGTCCTTGGTCCCTAATACTCTACCCCAGATCCCAGCAGCACGCGAAGGTGGTGCCGTGGATGCGGAAGACCGAGTACATCTCCACTGAGTTCAATCGTTACGGCATCTCCAACGAGAAGCCTGAGGTCAAGTAAGTTGTGGCGAGTAGGGAGGGAAAAATGGAGATTTCGGGTGTGTCCAGTGGCTCCTAAAAGCCTGTCTTTACTCCTAGGATTGGGGTTTCTGTGAAGCAGCAGTTCACTGAGGAAGAAATCTACAAAGACAGAGATAGCCAGATCACAGCCATCGAGAAGACTTTTGAGGACGCCCAGAAATCAGTAAGTGAGGGGCCAGGACGGGCTGGGGGTGGGAGGCAGACCGGGGTGCAGCCCCAGAGCTCCACATACTCCTCCTCCTCACCCTGTCCTTGGCCCCCCCCCAGATCTCCCAGCATTACAGCAAGCCCCGAGTGACACCGGTGGAGGTCATGCCAGTCTTCCCAGATTTCAAGGTCAGAATCAGGGCAGGAGGCGGAGCGGGGGTAGCCTGCCACCTCTGCCCGCCCCAGCCCTAATCCCAGTGCTGTCCGTCCCCCAGATGTGGATCAACCCATGTGCCCAGGTCATTTTTGACTCAGACCCAGCCCCCAAGGACACGAGTGGCGCTGCTGCACTGGAGATGATGTCTCAGGCCATGATCAGGTACGTGAGTGGCCCTGCCGCCCCTTGGGACCTGCTCCTCATTGCCCCTTGGCCCTCACTCCTCACTGTCCCTCTTCTCCTGACCAGAGGCATGATGGACGAGGAAGGGAACCAGTTTGTGGCTTATTTCCTGCCTGTGGAAGAAACACTGAAGAAACGAAAGCGGGACCAGGAGGAGGAGATGGACTACGCACCGGATGATGTGTGCGTGGGCTGCGGGGCTGGGTTTGGGGGGTGGAGAATCGGGTGTCCTTCTCTCCCCCACGAGGAAGCGGCGGGGCTGACCGTGTCCCCCGCCTGCAGGTATGACTACAAGATTGCTCGGGAGTACAACTGGAACGTGAAGAACAAAGCTAGCAAGGGCTACGAGGAGAACTACTTCTTCATCTTCCGGGAGGGTGATGGGGTTTACTACAACGAGTTGGAGACCAGGTACTTGGCACCCTCCTCACTCAGATTAGCCTGGGCCTGCTCTTCAGAATCAAGGTCCTGGTGCACGTGGGAACTACCTGGGAGCTCATTTGTACGTAAGGATCGTTGCGTGCACTTTAAGTAAGAGCAGCAGAGGTCCCCTCAAGCATGTGAGCCAGACCTGGTTTTAACACGAGGGCCCAGAAAGAAATCTCGAGATTGAGCTTTTTTGTAGGGTAGAGAGCCAAGTTTCCTCTAATGTTAATAAGAGGCTTCACGGGAAAGTAAACATAGGCAAAATACAGAGTAATACATAAAGGCAGCATAGACAGTTTAAAGGAGATCGTGGATACCCAAGGTAAAGAACGTGCCCCCCTGCCCAACTCTCCTGAGAGCTAAAGTTTACTTCTGCGCTACAGCCTGTGGATAATTTGAGGGCTGGGAAAGGAAGTGTGACCTTGAGTCTGTTTAAAGCAGCGCTCAGATTCTGACCCTGTGTAACAGGTGGCCCAGCGGGCTGGGTGGGCTCTGAGTGACCTGGAGCTCCTGGCAGCCTCCAAGGGCCACCACCACCTGGCTCAGCAAAGGGCTCCGGCCTGTCATTACTGTGCTCTGGGGCTTGGGGAAGGGGAAGTGCCAGTGAGTCCACAAATGAACATTTTCCAATCTAGATTCTGTGCTTTAAGTGTTGGTAACTAATTCACCTTAAAACCTCGTATGTATCCGTGTGTGTGTGTGTGTGTGTGTGTGTTGTGTGTAGACACTTTATAAGTACAGGGAACTTGTGGAACTATTCCCCTTCCCTTACCCTGTACCTAACCCCTAAGTTTAGTCTCCTTTATCCAACTCACATTTATTCTGGTCTGTTCTGGAGTGAGCGTCGGTGAGGAAGTAAGAGCCAAGTCAGACCAGATACCACACTGGGGTCTTTAGATGAATTTTCTACACACACCTCCCCACCCACTTGCCCACTGCAGGGTCCGCCTGAGTAAACGCCGGGCAAAGGCTGGGGTTCAGTCGGGTACCAATGCCCTGCTTGTGGTCAAACACCGGGACATGAACGAGAAGGAACTAGAAGCCCAGGTAACGAACACCACTGGCCTGGGGCACCTGTGGAGAGAGTGGTGGTGGGTGGGGAGAGAGGCAGAAGCCTGACAGAGCACCCTCCTTCCCCTCAACCACGCTGCTTCCAGGAAGCACGGAAGGCCCAGCTGGAGAACCATGAACCTGAGGAGGAAGAGGAAGAAGAGCTGGAGACGGAAGAGAAAGAAGCTGGGGGCTCAGGTAAAGCTGGACAGGCCAGACCCCAGGACCCCGGGAGGGTGGGGAGCCGGGAACCGGGTCTCACCTCTTTCCCTGCCCCTTCACAGATGAGGAGCGAGAGAAGGGCAGCAGCAGTGAGAAGGAAGGCAGCGAGGACGAGCGCTCGGGCAGTGAGAGCGAACGGGAAGAGGGTGACAGAGACGAGGCAAGTGACAAGAGTGGCAGCGGCGAGGATGAGAGCAGCGAGGATGAGGCCCGGGCCGCTCGGGACAAAGAGGAGATCTTTGGCAGCGACGCGGATTCGGAAGACGATGCGGATTCTGATGATGAGGACAGAGGCCAGGCCCGTGGCAGTGACAATGATTCGGACAGCGGCAGTGACGGGGGTGGCCAGCGGAGCCGCAGCCGCAGCGCCAGTCCCTTCCCCAGTGGCAGCGAGCACTCAGCCCAGGAGGATGGCAGTGAAGCAGCAGCTTCTGATTCCAGCGAAGCTGACAGTGACAGTGACTGAGTCCCAGGTCCTTCAGGGTCGGTGCAGACCCGATTATGATGCAACTGTTATGCGCAGGAAGGCAC